CCTTGGGGAACTGATTGTCTATCTCCCCAAGAAAAACACATCTCAGGATGGCCCAAGTATCTATGCAAGCAGTCAGGATTTTTATTTGAGAAGCGGTATAAGGCACCCGAATAGCATGAGGCGTGGAGCCAAAATGTTGGATAGCTCTACCATGTGCCTCCAGAGCCAGGGAAGCAACTGTTTTTGGGTAATGTTTAATAATCTTGGCAGGTGAAACCTTAGGGTGCACCCACAGAAGTGGTCCTTTCTGCCAAATCACTGCCGTGGGCTGAGAACTGGTCTGCAGCAAGCAGACCTCAAAAGGCTGTTTTGGGTCAATTTTTTGTAATGTAGCTTTGCTTAGGGCCTCTTTTATCTTTTTTAGAGCAACTCTGGCTTCTGGGGTGAACTCCCTAGGGGAGGCAATATCCGGATCTCCTCTCAGGAGATCAAACAGGGGCTTTAAGTCCGAATTAGGGATGTGCAAGTAAGGTCTGATCCAATTTATATCTCCCAGTAACCTTTGTATGTCATTTAGGGTTGTAAGATTATCTGTTTTGATGGTTACCTTCTGTGGAGAAATCGATGTAGGGGAGACTTTGGTACCCAAGTAGGTTACTATGTCTCCTCCCTGAATCTTGTCAGGGGCAATATGTAAATTGGCCTTTTTCAGGGCCTTGACCAGTTGGCCTAGCATATCTTTTAACCTATTTATATCTTTTGCACTGATCAGCAGATCATCTATGTAATGAATACACCTAACTCTGGGGAAGGCCTCGCGTAAGGGGGCCAGTAGAGAATTGAGATAAATCTGACACATGGTGGGACTATTGGCCATACCCTGGGGTAATGTAACCCACTCGTACCTCTGATCAGGACTTTCTTGGTTAATGGTGGGTAGGGTAAAGGCGAATCTATGGGTGTCTTCTGGATGCAGGGGGATTGAGAAGAAACAGTCTCTAAGATCTATAACATAAACTGGCCAGGACTGAGGGATGGCCGAAAGAGCTGGCAGCCCCCTCTGGATCGCCCCTAGGGGTTGCATCTGTGTGTTGACTGCCCTTAGATCATGGAGCAGCCTCCACTTACCTGATTTCTTTTTAATAACAAAAACAGGGGTATTCCAAGGGGAGGTTGATGGCTTTATGTGCCCTGCCTGAAACTGGGTTTTGACTATCTCAGTTAATGCTAAAAGCTTTTCCCTGGGTAGGGGCCACTGAGGTACCCAAACCGGATTTTGGGATTTCTAAGTGATCTTAATTGGAGTGGGCAGGAGAACTTTCTCAGTGGCCCCTAGGAAAAACCCAGCCCGTGTCTACCTTTTCTCTTTTTTACAGGTACGGGAGATGTCCGGCCCTGCAGGGCAGAGCCCAGGCCCTTGCCGGGGACATATCCCTGATTTTTAAGTATACCCTTGGCTTGGGGAGAGCAGGTGGATGTAAGAGTGACATCCATCTGAGTGAGGATGTCTCTTCCCCACAAGGATATCGGCAGCTGTAGAACAAAAGGTTGAAAATGTCCTTGGTGACCCTCCTCATCACCCCAAGGCAGGGTCACGGCACTAACCTGGGGGGCAGCCACCATCCCCAATCCTTGGAGTGTGTTATCAGCTGTGTTGGTAGGCCAGCTAGAAGGCCAGTCTTTCTTGGAGACAATGGAGCGGTCTGCCCCTGTATCCAGGAGTCCTGTTATCTTTTTACCATTAACCCTGAGCGAGAGCATGGGTCTTTTATCAAGAGTCATATGAAGTCCTTTAAAAATTTCTCTAGAGGAGCCAAATCCCTGATCCCCTCTAACCCGTTGTCTAGACTGGAATCTCTCATGGAGACTGGGGAGCAATAAAAGTTGTGCTATCTTATCCCCCTCATTAATCACTATGGTCCCTACATGAGATTGTACCATAATCTTAATGTTTTTTGTGTAGTCTGAGTCTATAACTCCAGGGATCACGGTAAGGCCCTGGAGGGCTGTGGAGGACCGTCTAATCACTAAACCAACTGACTTTTCAGGTAGCGGTCCTTTGAAGGTGGTCCCAACCACCTGAACGCCCATATCGGGTGTTAATAGGAGTCTGGAGGCGACACAGAGGTCCACGCCTGCTGACCCAGGGGTAGCCCTTGTGGGGGGGTGCCACCTTGTGCTGTCTTGTCTAGGGGGTGGGGGCCCATCCGTAGGGAGGGCCCCCTCTGGCCGTTTTTTGGCTCTGGAATCTCCCTGCCACTAATACGGTTTCCCTGGGCATCAAAAACTGATCTGTAATCTTTTGCTTTGTGAGAACCTTTACCGCACCTTTCGCAGGTCCCCGTTTGTTTGTCTGATTCCTGTCTTCTGGGTATAAATTCCCCCCGTCTAGTCTTGGGGCAGTTTTTTTTTATGTGGTTAGGATCCCCACACTGAAAGCACCCCCTGGGCTTACCAGGGTCATTAGCCTTTTGAGGTCTTGTCTGTCGTAAAGCGGCAGCTAAAAGGGCAGCCACGCCTGAGTTGGACAGTGGCCCTCCTATTTCTCTGCAAATTTTGATCCAAGCTTTTATGTTTTTACCCTTGTGGGGCGCTATGGCTGCCCTGCAGTCCTTGGTGCACTGCTCAAAGATCAACTGTTTAACAAGAGGAGCAGCAGCAATCGGATCTGGAAAGAGTCTATCAGCTGTCTCTTGCATTCTGGCCACAAAATCTACAAAAGGTTCTGCGCTGCCCTGAACAATTTTAGAGAGGCATTGTGAGGCCGCTCCTGTGTTGTTTACCTGCTTTCAGGCACGAATGCCTATGTTGTGTATTTGTTTATATACACCTGGAGGGAATCTGGTTTGATCTTGGGCGTATTGACCCTTACCCATAAGCATGTCCTCATTTTGTCCCCTATGGCCCCTAGCCGCATTTTTCTCAGCCTGCTCGGCAGCAAACTCAGTACACCAGGCGCGCCAGTCCAGAAAAGCCCCGGGGGCCAGGCAGGCTTTAGCCAGCTGGGTCCAATCACTGGGCGTCAGGAAACCACCGGCGGACAGATTTTTCAACATTGTTATAGTGTAAGGAGCAGTAGGGCCAAACGTGGCAACCGCAGTTTTGAGCTCCTTAATTTGCTTAATCTCCAGTGGTTCCCAGTGATTGGGTCCTTGGCCTTGCGCCAGGTGTACCGGATAGAACCCACATTGTTTGTACTCATTTGCCCCGTGGGGGATTTGTTCCATCTTAAATGTCCACCTACGAAAGTACTTTTTTTGGGACCTTGGTACTTTCTCACAAGATGGTGTCTCCCTGTGAGATGACTGTCTCTCCCTATCACAAAATGGCGCCTCTTTACAACATGGCCGACCAGCCTTTAGGGCACAAGATGGCGGGTCGCCAGGCAAATAAGATGGCGGCTCTGCATGTGACAACGGTCCAGGCCACTCCCTCCATGGGGGTGGCGACAGAGGTGGGCCCCAGGCTGTCATCTCACCATAGGAGCTGGCGTTTGGGACCCCCCAGGGTGGCGCGGAAGGCTCTATGACCTTCCGTTGGGGAGTGCTCAAGAGTTCTTTTTCCTTTTTTAGGTCTGTCTGTATCTTGACTAGATCTCTACGTAAGGCTGCGAAGGGATTAGGGGAGTCACTTACCTCATTGTCCTCGCCTTCCGAGGTATCTGAGCCTGAGGGATCCGAGGCAGGGGGCGCCTCTCTCTTGTCTCGCTCTCGCGAGCGCCCTCGCACGCTCCCTGCGACGGACCCCTCCCGGGAGGACTCTGAGCGGGCCCCCTCAAAAGCTCGGCGGGCCCGAGAGAGCCCGTCCGCGCTATCTTTAGCCCCGTTCCTCTCCCCTTTGAGGCAGGTATGAATCATCTCCCAGAGCGGCCGAACCGAAAGTGGAAGCCGGCACTCCTCTTTTGCTCGTTCTAAATCTTTACCCAATTTCTCCCAACAAGGCAGGGACAAATGCCCCGTCGGCAGGAACCAGGGTGCCGCCTCATCTATTTGTTGGAGAAATTCTGCAAGTGTCTTGGAACTTATTGATATGCCTGAAATCTTGAGCAGGTCTTTTACTGCTCTTACCAGTGACTTGGAACTCTTAGTGGGTAAGTTGCCCATGCCTGTCACTGAGAAGTTTGTTCTCACCGTGTGAGGCTAACCTGCCACGTACACGTGAGCTTGAGGGGAGTCTAAAAAGCCCTGTAGGTGCGCGCCACCCAGAGCCCAGGTTTATCCCCTACTCACCTGTCCTGCAGGGCAATACTGGAGCGTTGTCCGCCTCGTCTCGGGGGTGATCATCCCCCGTACGGGCCACCAAATGTCGGTGTCGGTCCCGGCCGGCAGGAAAAACACACGACAAGAGTTATAGGCGGACAACCTTTCCGTTTATTCTCTCTCTCCATATAGCCTGCTCCGGGATCTTCGATCCCGCCCGAGGGAAGCCTCCTCTGGTCCGCTCTCTGCGGCTCCCTGCGTGCTTCTCTCAGCGATTTTCCTTCCTATTCTGCCTCTCCCCAAGGGTGGCACCAGTATATATACGGATACAGTGTCCAATCATATTAAAGTAGGCAAGGCAAGCTGATTGGCTAACGTCAGTTGTTGCTGGGCGGACTATCTTACAGGGCGTGTTGTTTACTAGGCAGGAAGCAGGACATGAGCGCCATCTTGGCACACTCGATGGGAGGGGTAATCTAGCTCAGGCTTCACTCTTTCCTACAGGCCTCATATCACCCAGCCAGGGCCCCCAACATTTGCTGTTAGTGAATTTTGCTGGATTGACATACCTGGTTCAAATTATTGTAAGTATTGGCTCCTACTGGCTTCTCCTCATTCTTTTTTCAGTTGGTGGTTACATTTTAATCACATGGTAGAATGGAAGTCACAGACAAAGCATTCGTGTGCCCTTTTTTTCCACTTATTGCCTTCTGGGAGATGTGTGGATGATGTCTGGTAGATGAAATCTTCATTCCCTCCTCTAAATACATCCTGAAATCTGAGGAGGGAAAAAGCAAATAGTTTTAAAAAATTCATTCTTTAATGTTTGTCCTTACGTTCTCTCTCTTTGTCTCAATCTAGGAATACCAGGTTGAATCAATAATCAAAATTGCTACACATATTTTTTGTGAGTGTAAGTATCATGTACTTTTTTATAGTACAGGCAATAAGGGTGTAAAAAATAAAATTATGGAAAAATATATTTAATTATACAGAATTCAAGGAAGTCAAGGCATAAAAATGGCATTCAAGAAGGAAAGTTACATATATATCCTATTTAGAAAAGAGGTAAGTTGTAATACTCATAGATGGAAACCAAGTTGTAATTGAATGGGCTCAGTCATGCTAAGGGCAGATAAAAGGATTCTCTTTTCTGAAGGATAAATAACTGTGAGATAGGTCACTTTTTCACCAAATAAATATTTAAGCTATAAACAAAGACAGTGTCCTTTGTGAGCACAGCAAAGCGTCTGTCAAATAGTTTGAAATTGTCTGAATTTTATGAAATTTAGCTAAAATTTCAGACTAATTGTGAAGTACTCTGGGGATAACCAATGACACCAGAACATATTCTTTACTAACTATTAAACTACAACACTACGAAGAATTAATGTACTTTTTCTGTATTTTTATAACAAATAATTAAAGCAAGTAGAGAAAAATAGAGGCAAACATAAAGACAACATAGTGCAGAGACACGGAAACATACAAGGTTTAATTTGAAATGTGACTTAGGAGGGAAATGATTGTAGCCATTTGACTGGACAGAACTAACAATACTTGATGATATTAGTGGTGTGTTTAGCTACTAAAATATATTTTCAAATTACTGCATTATATTCTTTTGCTGTTCTTACTATTCTCTTGTTTGTAGGGAACATCTATACTTGTGTGAGCTGTTCACTGAGAATCTGTAACCCACAGGACAGGCTGAGAGGTCAGCTAGGAAACAGCAGAAAACAGAAGACAAGACTGCAGTGATAGAAAAAGATGGATATCAAGCCAAATGCAACATCACTGCGTGCTGTCGGGCAACAGCAAAGGATCCTGTGCACACAAAAAGAAAGTTGCACAATATGAAGGAAGCAGTAAAAATGAAATGAAGTAGAAGAGACATGCAGAAAGAAAAATGCTCTCGGATGTGTCACAATCATCTTGATTCTTTACCTGGAAAACCTGTATTTTTTCCTTTGTAATTATCTAATATACTTTGTGTCAAAGAACAAGGACCTGAGTTCCACTTAAAGTAGATGAAGTTAACAGATACCTTTTTCGGGTTTTATCATGAAATTAGAAATGAAGATTTTCAGTTTCTGGTAGTCATGAACAGAGAGCCTCAGGTAAGCCCGAGAGTGCAGGCAGATAGTCAGGATGCTCCTGCGCAGGCTCCTCAGGTGCAGCTGTGCTGGTGGGAAAAATCATGCTGTTTAGCCTAACGAGGCAAAACAGAATAAAGGCCAAGGTAATTCAGTAGAGAGGGTCTTAAATGCACAGCTGTATCAGCTGCTGCCTCCTTCCCACCTGGTCTTCATTTTTTCTCTGTGTAATCTGTTTGCTTCCCTACTGGGCCTGCTAAGATTATCTGATTCCAGGCCAAACTGATAATATTTGTTATGAGGCCTGCCAAAATTAATAAAATTTGAGTTTGTCATCTTGGTGTTCCCTGAACTAAAGTTAACTACCTGTGTCAAATCCTAAAGTCCACTTGTTACACCAGCATCAGGCTAAGATGTAAATCTCCATTTGAACTAAGGAACAGCTACACTACATGCACAGAGAGATGTTTGTTTGTAAGTGGATACAATAGAGTGCTTGTTGGTGTTTTAAAAGCCAAAACCTGGAATACTTTTCTTTTGACTTTACATATGGAGAAAATTACGGTGTAAAATGTAGACAAGAATAAAATAATACCAAGATGAGTAAGTCCATTAAAAATGTAGATGAGCAAATGACTTTAGCGTTATTAATGTTGATTGGGAATTTGGCCAAATGAGCATGTTTATACTTGGGACCAATTAAAAGGCTTACCATTTTAATCACTGGCAGAACTGGACATTCAGTGTTTTCCTGGATGACAAGAATTTTCTTTTGTTGTTTTTTCAGTTTGGCTTTGTTTTGGTCTAGTGAACTGCACCAGAGTGTCCTCAGTGTAGAGAAGATAACAATACACTACCACAGTGTTAGTAACAATATCTTGTTACTAACATTTAGTAACAGTATCTCAGAGTCTCTCCACAGCTTGAGGGGAAAACATTGTTGCCATTCCTACCCTGAGGAAAATCTACAGTAACAGAATGTTTCCGGAAGTAGAAGCATCCTACCAGTCGGGAACCTCCACGTGGACCCGACCTCTCAGCTTTCCCTGACTCCCCACCAGGGCAGCTGCTGTGTAGGATCCGCTGTAACGTACCAATGGCACAGGCGTTGCAGTGCGTTGGGGCTGGACTCATGGAGAATGTCCTGGAGCTTCCCAAGAAGACCCCTCCAACATTACTAGGCAAAAAGGTGGATCAGGAATACCCTCCTAAGCCCCGGAAACAGTTCCTCTTGAAATAATTGAATAGATACACATCTTTCAGCTTTGATTTTTTTTTTAACCAGCCTGAAAAGACCAGCTTTCAGATTCCCAAAGAAATTGCAAACACATCTTTAAAAAAAAATGTAAGTTCTGATTCCACGTAGAGTGACTGAATTGTTGAGTTACTCAATTTAAAGCCTTTGTTTAATTACTTGATTCATAGAAATTCCCTTGATTCACTAATATACAATTTAGTCCCCAAAGGCACTCTGATTTTCTATATTTCCCTCTTAAATTTCAATGGGTATTTTTCTATCACAGTGTTATACATTCTCTTATACGACCCTCTACTTTTTCTTTTTTTCAGTATGGAGATCAAACTCAAAGACCCTCTACTTTGGTAAGTCTTTTAAAATATTTGGAATTTCTTACTTGTGGTTATTTGAAAAAGGTACAACTGTGAAAACACTTACTACTTTTCACAAGCCTAAAAAGTAATATACAGAAAAAATACATGATCAATTATGATATTTAAGCTTAAATCATAAGGAAATCCCCATCACATTTGGAGGAAAAAACTAATCATCACACCAAGAAAATCCTGTCTTCTACTGTTTTGACCAGCTTTTGTTTCATAAAACATGAATTAAGCCTTTTCAATGACTCATTGCAGAGTCTGACATAGTGAGGTCATCTAATGAATGCAGGGTAACAACCATCTTTGAGTGTAGGTTGTCAGTTGAAAGATGCCATTTGCTGTTTCTGTTTTGGTCCTTTGAGCATGATTTCGCTTCATGTGTGGCCCTACCATGGGCTCCAGTCTTCAGCCTTATGTGTGTATTGCTTCTCATTTCATCCTCAGATTTCCTAAGGATTTCATAGCCAAGCCTCGCTCTTGATTTCTCCTGCTCCCCTGGAGCAGCAGGAGATTTGTGGAACGTTCTCAGGCTCTTTCTGTGCAAGATTTTCTTGTCTTGTTTTGCACTTTTTTTTTTTTTGGTGGCCAATAACCCCACTCTTTTTCATACCTCAGATTTTGAAGACTTTTGTGATAGTTATTGTTTCCTTGCATGACTTAAAAAGTAGTCATTTAATAAAACTTTCAAATCTTTCTTGGGTCCTTATTGCCTTCCCAGCCCATTAGGTTTTTGAGTAGAAGCCAGAACAAAATGCAGGGAAGAAGATGTAGATATGCAAAATGGCTTTCATAAAAGCACCTTATGTCACATTTATAACTTCAATACACAGCTGATTCACAGTCCGACAGCATAATCATTAAAGAATAAGAAGGACAGCAGGGACTGCTTGGATGAAAGTACAATGAAAACCTGTTTAATTTTCTTATCTGTAAGTGTGAAAAATGTTTAGTAAGCTGGAATGTCACAAGAGGAAGCCCAGAGAACACAGGGATAACAAACACCAGGAGGACTACGGAAGAGGAAGTTTTATTATTTTCAATTTATGTGTAAGAATTCCACTGGTTTTCCTGTGATAATGGATATTTCACATATATAATTTATATACTGATTTTGTTTCTTACAGCTTATCACTGGATTGTAAACATGTTTTGGATTTTTATTGATATTTTATTTGGCTAATCATCTCATTTGCAAAGAGTGACATATTTTCTCATTTTCTATTTATTGATATATTTTACATTAAAATAGTACCATGTACAACTGTCAAGTAGTTTTACATAATCAATTTTCTGCTTTTTAATTCTAGTTCATTTATTTTTTGCTGATTATTCCCTTAATTATTTGATCATTTTATTGAGACACAATTGATACTATAACTAACACACATTCACATATACAGGTTGGAGTTTGACATGTTTACCCTATTTTTTTTTTCATTTACTTATTGGCCTCACTAGGTCTTTAACTCTGATTTTGAATATGAATATTAAAACACCATTGTAATAGGTGTTTGAAAAAATAATTCCTACTTATAATTCTTTTTAATCTTTTCCTCTTTGTCCCACATGTATGACAAATTTGCCATTAACCATCTTTAGTCTTTTAATTGGTAAATAATTTATTTCTCATTGTTGGACTAGCCTTGCTTCACTCACATCATGATGATACTCTCTTATAAATCCTAAATTTTGTAAAGCAGTATTTGTTTATTTCTGTCTATATCAATGGGAGATATTTGTACAATATTTTATTTCCTTAAAATATTTTTGCTTTGCTTTTAGTTTAAGGCTTTCCTAAGGAGGAAAAGCATCCGTGATAATGTCATCACAGTTTAGTACCTTTCCTTTTCTTGCTTTCTTCTGGTTAATAACCTGAGTAGTGCTTTCTCAGGTCTCCAGGTAGACTTTTATGGCTGCTTGATGAGGTTTGTGAACATGAGCTCTGATATGTCACCTGTGGGGCCTTGTTCTCTTTTTGATTCTTGACCACTTCTCTCATAGGTTCGTCCAATATCTCCTCAGACTTCAGGAGAGTTATTTTTCCTAAACCTCAAGGATTTAAAATATTGTATGTTTTGTTTTGTTTATTTTGAGGTATTGGACATTGATCTCAAGAATCACTGAACTATATCCCCAGCCAAATTTCCAATTTAATTTTTAGAAAAGCTCTTACTAAGTGGCCTGGGATGGTGATCCTCCTGACTCTTTACCCTCTCTAAAGCCGAAATTAGAGGACTGTAGCACCAAAGCTGGCTAAGACTAAGGTCACTTAAATAAAACAATAGCCGTGAATTTTCAGGTGATATTTGTCTTGCTTGGTTATCATAAAAGTTCTCTCGGTGCTGACTTTGCAAAAGTATCTTTTAAATTACTTTGATCATATTCCAGGCTATTGGCACACATTTCATTCCTGGAGATGGTTAGAATATGGTGTTTCTAAAATAGAAGGACTTATCTTTCCTCCTCTACTTTGGAACTAAGATGAGGTAAGTGGACAGATATCTCCCCCCTCCAACAACTTGTGTCAAGTGTTCCTCCAAATCTGTACTGTTACATGTTTTATAGATACCCTGTTGCCTTCTCCAGTGTTCATGGCTATCTTGAAACCTACATGTGGCAGAGTACAAAATTAATTATATCTAGTTTTATAAGCAGCATTAGGGAGCCAAAAGTAAATATACTATTTTCTGAGCGGTAAAAACTTCTTGTTTTAAAATCTATGACCTGAAATTTGTTCTACGAATATACCAAATTATAGATAACACAGGATGAAGAGGCCTCTTCATATCTTTAAGTTATCAATCACAATTTATGAATCCAATTACATACATGAGTTTTAATAATTTTACATTGCCTAGAAAGGTATCAAAATAATTCCAATACTGTGATTATAAAATGGACCAATTTTTAAAACTATGACAGTTTACCTTTGAAAAACTTGAATAAATATTTTGAAAATCAATTGAACTATACTTATAATGAGCAGTCCATTTTGGGTTATTTTGGAATGGGTAAATTTTAAATTGATATAAAAAATTTTGTATCATAATTCTGTTTTATATGCTTCTTGTCTGATTTTCGCAAATGAAATAAAATACAAAGTAATTTAGTTAGGTTTGCCTCGATTATTGAAAATTTTGAAATTCTTTAAAGTATGAAAGCTATTTTTAAAGCCACAATTTTTACTCAAATACTATTTACATGATGAAAAACATTAGTGTATTTAAAAGGAAAATGTACTCTTAAATCACTACATGTGAGTAGTAAAGATTCAAGAATAAATACTATAAAGATCAGAGGAAGACCTCACAAAATTGCAAATAAATCTGCTGTGTACATATTCTTTTCAGATGCACATAGAAATGCTTACTGAGTTTTAAAGGAATATTTCTATTATTTGTGATCAGATAATGTTATAAATTATTTCTTATTGCATAAACTTATTTGTAATACTAGAAAAATGAACATTTAATGTATCACCAGCTTATTGGTGATTTTATTGAATCATAAAATCCTGGGCCTCTGACAGCCCAGTTCCTGGGATTGAGAGAGGGTCACTAGGGTTGGGGCAGGCAGGCCGAGACCTGAGGAGCTGTAGAGTGTGCAGGAGGCCGGGCAGCTCCTTGACAGGCAGTGGGAGCAATGACCCCAAACTCTGGGGCTCAGGCTAGTGCACGCCTGGCACCACCTGGGCACGCGGGGCTGCGGGACCGATTCTTCCAACAGCAACCTGGAAATGGTCAAGGTGATGACAGGGCAGCGCTGAGGGGTCCTGGCTCCTCACGGGAGCCCCAAACCCCGCTCTGCTCCAGAAATGCCAGTCCAGGGTGACTTTTTCTTGCTGGTTAAAAATGTGCCTGCACCTCCAGAGTCAAGGGGTGCCCTTCTCGTGGTTCTGAGTGAGTAGGGAGCCAAGGCCGGCTTGGTGAGGGGGGCCCCCTTCCCCATAGCCCTCGGCCTTGCCAGTAGTTGCCCTCACGCTATAGTAACATTTTTACAATGAATATTTTGTGCTTACTTTTCAACAACATTGCAAAATATAAGTACTTACTACTCAGTGATAAAGTTAACAGTAATTACATCAAAACATGTTTTAAAGATAAATAAATTTTCTTAATTTATTTTAACCTGTTTATTTTCCCATTTGCTGCTAGGCTACTCACTAGCAGTGGCTGTGGCTCTGTCACTTGCAGATTACAACAGAGGAATAGAATTCAAAGGGTTGCTGCTAAGTTTGCTCTTTTCACAGGGACAAAGTTTGCAAGACTCTAAGATAAACAGTATTTTGGGGTGGACCTACTTTTTGTGGTTTCAAGCTTTGAAATCTACCACATGAAAATGTCAAATACTGATCATTATACAGCTCTCTGTTAAATAATGATTAGTGAAAAATTCTATTCATAAGTAAGCCCAAGAGAAGTTTATTTTTGCATTTTAATTTCACATTGAAAACCAATCAGATTTGCCACAGTCTCAAAGAGATTAATATTTATGTAAAATTAAATGAGTCCTGGTAGCTAAATGCACTTTTTGTCTAAATTGAAAATTTAAAAATTGATTTACAAATGCAACATTGCCCATGAAATTTAGTTATATTCAGTTAACTACATTTTAAGTAATACTACTAATGACATTACAAAATTATATTTATTTTTATCCTACTTTGTATACGCATATAGTATATATACTATTTATATGTCTTGTGGAGAATTATTACAAGTACATAACACACTTTAATTCCTTTTACAGTACTCCTTCCCTTCCACCTGGCGATCCCCTTCTCCACTGAGAAAGATCTATCCTCCTAATTCTTATTACCTATCATTTATTTTGCTTTATACATTTTTCCTAACTCATATAAGAAAAGCCATGTGGTATTCAACTTGTGCACTTGTTTAATGTCATTTAACATTTTGTTCTCAGAATGCAATCGTTTTCCTAAAAACTCAAATTTATCTTTCTTTGTGGCTAAATAGTAAAATGCTTATATTCAAAGTACTCAATAGTACTTCTGATGTTTGCATAACTTAAATTCTATTATTTTAAAGTAAAATGTGAATAATTCAAAATTTCTAAGTGGTTTAAAAATATGAAATTTTATATCACCATGGTAACATATTATTAAATGTACTTAATAGATATTATAACACCTAGTATATTGTCTCAATACAATATGAAGTATAATAGTAATTGTGGGATTTGCTTTAAGAACTGTTACTAGTCAAGGCTAAAAAATAAAGGAAATCATTGCTTTAGTTACTAGCCCATACATTCACATCTAGGAAACATTTATTTGATAACTTTTATTTAAGATGTATATTTTATTGTTTTCAAAAATATATCACTAATAAATAGGCAAATTGACAGTTTTTTTTCTCAGATTGGCTTCCACGTCTCCTTAAATATGTTTCATTTTAAGTAACAGAATAGCATGAAAGTAAGAAAAACATGTTTTTAACAAAAACTCAATATGGTAAGAATAGTAAATAAATGTGAACCAGTTTCTAAGAGTATCTCATGGAGGTATTAACTAGAATGCATAAATCTCTCCACCATAGTTCAGAGATGAGGGGCAGTGAAATAAATGTATTAGTCAATTAAGGTATGATTGTCAGTTCGTGAAAAGAAACAGTTTAATTTTGCCTACAGTTTTAGAGATTCCAGTCTAGATGAGAAAGACTTAATAGTTTCAGTCCTCTGATGAGAAAGGGGCAGCACAAGACTGCATGAAGTTTGTGGTGAAGTAACCCTGCTCGCATCGTGAGCACAGAGAGACAGCCTGAGTCATAATTCCTCAGAGCATGTGTTCATGATGACTGCACAGCACTCACCAAGCCCCAACTCTTGTTTCTACAGCCTCCCAGTCTCAGGAATCACCTTTAACATGTGGACTTTCAGGGAACACTCCAGATTTGAACAACTAAATACTGAAATTGAATTAGAGGACCTAGTCTAAGAATATTATTTAGCTTTTATGTGAATTTGGGCATGTCACTTATTTCTCACTTGCCATTTACTCATATTAAAATACATATAATGATTCTGCATTCGTTTCTGCATTATATAATTGTTTTGTTAATTCAAGTATGAAAAAAGTTTTATAACTTGAAAACTAAAACTCTTATCAAGAGGCTTCCAAATATTAAATATATTTTTGTAGATGTCTTTATGACACTTGCATGGTCTAGGTTGTTAAGAATAAAAATAAATATACATTATATATGATATAGATGAATATATATATATGTATATATATACATATATATATTCTTACTGAAAATGTTCAGTTTACTGATTGTTAGTGTTTAATGTATTTAGAGCATACAATATATTAGGTAGATAGATATCTGAATTTTATGATTGTTTGAGAATCACATTTGTCGCTTTTCTGTTCGGGGGCAAAAATTTCTTACATTTACAATCTAAATGCACAGAGCTTCATTTTGGCCCATACTTTCAGAGATCTCAGTCCCCCTGGGGGAAAAGCATCACAGAGGAAAGCTGCTACACTCATGGCAGCTGGAAAGCAGAGCAGATTACAAAGAGCCAAAGAAGAAACTTTCAGTGACTAATATAGTCCGCAAGATTATGCTCTCTTGACCCATTTCCTTAAACTATACCCCATGTCCTAAAAGCCCATTCAAATACAAACTCAGTTTTAATGAAGTTACTGCCCTCACAATCTGATACCTCTCTAGGAGTCTCTCAGTCCAGTCAAGACTACAGTGAAGCTCAACTGATTGAAGACTATCACTTTATCAATTTGACACTTAATTACCCATCTTTAAACTATGATTAATTTCTCAATAACCTTATATCTTTCAAATACATTTGATCTTCAAATACACCATGACCTCATTCTTCTGCTGGTTCTGCTCCTTGCTTATAACTTTTTGGACCATGTTCCATTTTCCTGGCATCTCCAAGTTTCTGTGGTATCCACTGCAGCTTCACTCCACTCCCAGGGACTCAGCAGCCTCTCAGGATCTCGTAGCAGGCAGGGATGCTGGTCTTATAGTATTTTTGCTCCACTAGACCAATTAATGCATCATCCTTGAACTCCGCCTTACAGAATTTTAGCGTGTGGATAAACTGTAGAAAAATGATTTGTAAGAATATAGCATTTTGGTCTCTTGTCCAATTGTCAAAAGAATTCTCTTTTTCCATCAGAAGTCTAAAGCTTCTTGAGTACAATTTTTATTCTAAATTCTGTTTAACATTCAGAGCTTCTGAGCTACTGTGATAATCATCTATCAGTCTCTGTTTATAGCTTTCTAGGAGTCTGAAGCCCACATCACCAAATCACACATTCCTCCTGAGAAATAGTTACAAAGGCTTCTGAGCCCCCATGGTCATGTGTAGCTACAGTAATGACCCCACTTCTCTATTGGAAATTTTCTGAACTGTTCACTTTTCTGTTGCTGGACAAAACTTCCAAACCTCATAATTTAAAAGAAAAGCTTATTTTGGTTCATATTTTCAGAGTTTTCAAATCATGATTGTTTAATTTTAAGGCTCAAATATCATGGCAGTAGAGCATTCACAGGAAGACAGCTCAAAATACCCCAGAAGGGTGGGAGAACAGGGCAAAACCAAAGAGAGTTGATGGACAGATGCAGTCCCCGAGGTCCTGTCTCTGGGGCCTGCTTCCTCCAGCCGGACCCACACCCTAAAGCCCACTTAGTTGTAAACTCAATGATAAACTCACCCATTGATGAGGTTAGTCTCCTCACAATCCAATCACTTCTTTCAAAGTCTCTTCATCTTTTCAAGTTGGTAATGCAGATGAACAGACACAATTTTAAAAGAATAAATACATATATATAATTTAATATAATATTGTGTATATATCACTCAGTAAAATCTTTGAAAAATTAACAGTTAAATATTAGTCCCAATAGGATAGTACTTGTTAGTGGTTCTGGCATTATGTTAAGATTAAAATTCAGTAATTTTCTTTATATCACAGAAACAACTGACTTTTCATTGTTTATCTTTTTGTTTGTTTGTTTTTGTACCAGGGATTGAACTCACCACCTTGCACTTGCCAAGCAGGTGCTTGTGCTGCTGAGCTAAATCCCAGCTCATTGTTTATCTTTTAATCAACAACATGAGTGCTAATTAAACTAGTATTATTGAATGTGGAAGTATGGAGTTTAATTTAAAAATGTCAGCATGATTTCTTCTTGTGTATGTGTGTATATGTGTGTACCAGGCAGAGTATCAAACTTAAAACCTCGTACTTGCCAATCCCCAGTCCCAACATGATTTCATTTTATTAGTTTTCTTTTTTACTAGAAAGCAAAAGTACTATGTTAAGTGACATATACAGCACTTTTGAATTTATAATCACCTCTGCTCCGTAGCATCATAATTATGTGGTAGGTATCTTGTAATTTTAACATTTGCTAGAAAAAAATAATGGTCTTATACGCGCTCTCATTGTGTTTACCTGCAGCATCAATTTAGATGCCTCTTTGTGCTGCTAAATAAAAATTTAAGTGTGTAATTTTAAAATATTTGCTTTATTGTCAACCACTTTTTTTCTTTTAGTATGTTTGCTTTTGTAGTCAGTGTACTGTATTTCCTGATATGTAGTGTACTTCTAATCGTCTAAGTTATGTGTTAGACAGAATATCCCTCTCTTCGTTATTCCCGTCCTTGGACCTGAGCTCTGTCTGGTCAAATGTGGCCAGATGTTACTGCAGTGATGACACAGGAAGACATTTTGTGGCATGATGACATTTCCAATAGGTCTCTGCGACCCAGAGGATTAGAATTTATTGGACCTTTTATTTTTCTTCCACAATGTTGGTTTTCCTATTACATGAATAAAGCAAACATGCCGAAAAAGGAAAGAAAAATAAATATCTTTAATCATTGAAAATGACAATTTTAAGGAAATATTTTTGGATAAAAAGAACTAAGGCATTAACAGATAATGGAGCAGGCTATTAATCTTGAGCTGTGTCTTTTGTAGTGCTAAAACATCAATTTCTTTTCAACGATTATTAGTTCATTTTTCTACATCCTTTAAAAGCTGAACTATAGATAAACTTCACAGAAATTTTTGAAAAAAAAATATATCATGGCTTTAAAAATGAATCTGAAATCTCAGATCAGCAGTAAAGTAAAAGGAATTACATCTGAAGCAAGACCCAGATGGAGGTCACTAGCAATTTTCTTAGTTTTTTTTTAATTAAACTACAAATACTATAAATAATCATTCATGGAACTTGAAGGAAATATGGCTTACCTAATATGGTGACCCTGAAGTGACATTCTGGATCTAAGTCGCAATTTATTGCTATAAATAGGAACTAAACAACATGCTTGCTTTGATGGGAGAAAAGTGATACTTAGTGTGTCAAATAGAGCTGACTAAAAGTAATTTAACCATAAGTGAAAGCTATTTACATACAGAATCAAGGTATTTAGCTAATAAACTGCATGTAACTATTTTTAGTAAGCATTAGTTTGTGGGAATATAGCTCAGTGGAACAACGCCTGCCTGGCAAGCATGAGGTCCTGAGTTTAATTCCTGGTACAAAATAATAATAATAATAATAATAATAATAATAATAATAAAAGTTTTAGAATTTATTTTTTAATTTTAATGAGATTAGCACTTAGAGCAAAATTTACAATATGCAAATGGCTGCTGAAACACAGTCGCATTATCTTTCTTTGTAGCAGTCATGTAGTTTTTTCCTGTTGGGGCTTTGTTCCCACCTCTTGTCCATCCTTTCAGAAGACTCTGTCCCAAGTGTCAGAATAGGACTATGCGACCACAGTAGCTTCACACTATGCAAGCCAGGGACATCATCTTCATAGGCCAGTGACATGGTACAGCACAGGAAATGGTATTAACAGAAACACACGTAAAAGACTGTATGGAAAATGTACTCTGTTAAAGGCCTTTTTCATTCCACTAATTAAGGGCTAAGATTGGGTTCAGTAGTGAGAATTATATGCAGTTAATTTGGGACCTCTTGGAGGATTCTGTAGTTCATTACTATCTTATCAGGCCACGAAATTCTTTTGCTATATGAAGAAACAGTATGTTAATGGTTTCATAACAAATCCTTTAGAATATAACATCATTTGGCAACTTTTGATGTTCCAAATTCATGAACATACCATCTGACCACTAATTTTTGCACTTATTTTTAATATATGTATATATATGCATGCATATATTACATTTGATATTTTCATATATGTATAGATTTTCAAAGGCCAATGTGTTCAATAATCATCATGCATATTTATTATTTGGTGGTGAGAAGATTTAAGTTAATTCTTAGTGATTGTGAAGTATACAATATTTTTCACTATAGTCACTTACATGTTAATGTCTAGATCTCTTGGACTTACTTCCTTTGTGTAGTGAAAATTGGTATCTTTTGACTGACAACTTCTCATTCTCCCTTGACCCATATGGAAATTATCATTATATTATGGCCAACATTTTTATTAAATGTAGATGTTTGATATTTAAAGCAACTTCCTTTTTATTGATATTATTTGACTACTCACAATGCCACACAAAACATTGCTATGAAATGTGACTGAAGATATCATGACAACTTCATTTTACTATCATTCTTTACTTCACGAGTTACATTTCCTCTTGTTACTTTATTGTTTCCCTGGACATTACCATTGACTTGCTTATGCCTCTGGCTCCTCATACTATTTTCTACTTTAGAAAAATGATAAAGTAACTTTTGAAGAGAGGAATCTTGTGATACTAAAACTTTCTCTTCAGGTGCTTTAAATGGACCTCGGCATTTACAACACAAGTTACTATGTGTTGTGTTGTATAAAGTTTCTTTAATTCACCACAATTACTTCTTGAACCTACTCAATTTCCACAGTGTTTGGTTTTTGAGAAGGAATGCTTTAAATAGAAAACAATGTGCCCAGAAACACACTATCATGAAACTACAAGCATTTATAATTGGGATAACTATCCAAAAATAAAGTTGGAATCAGAAACTAGACACTGATTTATATCCGTGAAAGACAATCAAGCATTTAAAACTCTAATACACTTTCCATTTAGCTGAAGCTCTTTCCTGCTAAGCTTACTTCAAAATCAAGATTGAGAAAGTTGATGTCTGTTAAGCATTCTTCTAAGGGTGAAAAATAATACTTTCACAGGATTTAAGTCTAAAAGCTTTGTTACCCCTATGTTTTTTTGAAAAATTGATTAATAAAATTTAAAAACATGAAGGTTTCATCTACTGGTAAAGATTTTCTCTGTGTGGCCTTTTTAGTTACTACTCATGGATAATCAGATTTTAGCTGTTCACTTAGATCATTGTGTGCTTGACTGTTATGGAATTTCAGACACTGAAGCATAAATCATTTTCAGATATCATTGACTCAGCCTCCAGTGTCTTTCCTTTAACTAAAAAAAAATTAACATCAAGATTCTTTTATTGCATAGGTTGTTGATGTTTCTTTTATCATGATATTGATTATAAAATATGTAAAAATAAATTAGTTTGAGTGTTAACTGTATCTTTTACTGTTTCACTCTCTCAGGAAAGAAAGAAACATGTGTTTGAAACTATAGTCGAGCTGTTTTTAACTTGTTAAAACTTGGTAGTCCCCACTTGGTTAATTATGACTTGTAGTCAATTACTTAAAGAAATATTGACATAGGACCAGAGAGTAATGAAAGTGCAGCTTTTTCACATCAAGTGTTGTTTTTCCTGAAGATTTTCTGTAGAAAATAATTGGCACCCCTTTTGTTGCCAGCCTCCAGTGAGGACAGCTGCTTGGTTAGCAGCACTCAGTATCCACGTGTAATCATAATTTGACAAAAAAGAGTTCAGGACAAGAAGTGTTACAAGTGGATTCTCTTAAAAACGCAATACAGTACAGAGACGGGGGATAGCCAGATACTTTCAGCAGCAGGTAACTAACGCGAGACTTTTCTTCATATAGCAAAAGAATTTCGTGGCCTGATAAGATAGTAATGAACTACAGAATCCTCCAAGAGGTCCCAAATTAACTGCATATAATTCTCACTACTGAACTCAATCTTAGCCCTTAATTAGTGGAATGAAAAAGGCCTTTAACAGAGGATGTTATCAAAGGCACCTAGGAGAGACATAAAAACATGTTTTAATTGTTCCTATGTATCCTTTGTATTGTGGAAAAAAATACTACAGTCGAGTTAAGTATTTAGCAATTCACCTTGTGGAAACATGAAATAAGTGTTTCATGAACATGCTTACAAAATAAAAAGTGTATTAACATAAATACCTAAGTAATAAAATTGTTGAATATCTAACAGTTACTCATTGTTTACCTCCTTTTTTTAACCTTAAGTGTTTTATTTAGTTTTCATCACATTGTTCCCAGGTGAAAACAATCAGTACATAAAGTTTAGAAATGAGGACAGTGGGAACACTAGAGACTGAAGTGAAATTTGAACAGCTCTCATATTATTGATTATGCAATGAGTCTTTTTTGAGAATTTACATTATAAATATGATGTGGCATAATTTCTGTTACTTTTGTTGTCATTTGGTTTTTAACATGATTATTTGTCAAGGAATCATAAATCTGTTTAATTTGCAAATAAGTGATCATTTTATAGGAGTTGCATAGAATTAACAATTTTGAAAATAATATTTTCTGTGAATTAGGAAAACATAATGCAGGACCTAAAATTTATATTTAATACCAACAGTGTGAATCTGAATTTTCACAGAATCAAATTTTAGAATTGGTGATTAGAGAAAAGCTACTGCTAGTAGACTATGTTATCTTTAATTTGGTACTGTTATGTAGTTTACAATTTTAGGCAAAAGTGTGATTTATTTATTGTTGAAGCTAATTAAATATAAATATAGTTAACACTACTATTTTGGATAAAAATTTTTATTAACTTTGTCACTGACTTGCATGATTCCTGGTTTTTATTACATTTCCAGTGTTTAGTAAACAATTTCTCTGAGCAATAAGATTAAAGATCAAGAACCCACCACACTTGCCTGATTCCTGGAGATCTGTGCTTTATGTTACTTTGGAGCTTTACCCAAGTGAGTTAGAAGGATCATCTCCACATCTTTGCTGGTATTCTGCCAACTGTTTCACAAGAAAAGGGTGAAACAGAAGGGGGATGGCACTGAGAGGAAAGGTGAGGTCAGAGGGACAAGCTGCAGGTGCAGTATGGAAATTACTCCAGGGTTCGCATCTTTTGGTTTTATGATTGTCTGTCAGTCAGTCAGGAAATATTAAAAAGTTCTTGGCATTTTAACGGATAACATTTTCTCTTATTTATCTAATGTTAGTGTATTTCATTAAAGCACCTTTTTATTGCTTTTGTCTTCTTTGCACATATGAGGGGTAATAATAGTTTCTTGTCATTGTCATGTTTAAAAATAAATACTTTGTGAAAAAAATGATAAAAATAAAACTATTTTTGGATACAAAATCCATTAAATAGTATATTAGTAATGTTATTTGTACCTAAGATATCCCAAGATAACTACTCTTTCAAATCTCATGTCTGTAATGCATATTATGTTTTATGATTTTAAATGTATTTATAAGCATAAAGATTGTATTTTTTGCTTGTACATTGTACATAAGTGGAAATCTGGTGTTTATTTCACTTTTTTCTTGAAATTTTCTTACATCATTGCATTTAAAAGTAATTTTCATATTACCATAAATGATTTTAATTTACTTATTTCCTAAATTATATTCAGAATTATACACTAATATATTATTTTTTATTTAAAGAAAAAAAGCAAAACCAGTGCAAGATAGATAACCATACTACTAATTTTTTGTTAGCTCATCAAACAATATTTGGTGCTGTCATTGTTTGATTGATCATTTTTTATGCTTTGATTTTATAACTTGAACAACTCCTTGTAAGATAACAATATATTCTTTTACGCAGTTTAGTTTTCCTAGGGTATACATACTATACATACATTCTATTTTATAGAATAGATTCAAGTTTCATATCAGTCAATACTGAATTATTTCCAGAGTATTTTTCTTCCTATATCCCTCATTACTATTGTCTGAAATATTGCACACATTCAGTTTAAAGTTTTGTATCTACAAACTTTCGTATTTTTCTTTGGGAGGACAGATATGAAATGTCTTTTCATATTAGAGCATAAACTTGTTATTAGGATTCAAGCATTAAAATTATTTTGGCTATTATTTCCTCTCTCAGTTACTATTTCTTCTGCTTTGTCTTTTTGAAAGACAAAATATGAATTTTAATTTACTTGTAGACATTATTTTCAAAAGTAACTTTTGTGTCTTTCTGTAATGTTTATATATACCTACATCTCTCTTTCTCTCTCTGTCTCTGTCTCTCTCTCTGTCTCTCTCTGTCTGTCTCTCTCTCTGTCTGTCTCTCTGTCTCTGTCTCTCTCTCTCTTTTTCCATTATGTACCATAACACGTTTCTAAAACTCAGCTGCTTTTCAGACACCATTCTTGAGGTTGTAAATGATTTGATTTTTATTTCACTGAAACTTAAAAATCCTGTTGCAAAAGTAGAGTGAACTTCTGATGAATTCTTTTGTATTTTAAATTCTACTGTGGATGTTTCAGTGGAGAATAAATTCTATTTCCCATTCGGAATCAAGTGGAGGGAAAAAGAGTAAGAAGAAATCAATGAGCACATGCTCACTCTATTAATTGTGAGAAAGATACCATATCAAACTAAAAATTTTCATAGGAGAGGTGGTGAGTAATAGGGCATTGTAGTTAGAAGGCAGAGTCCTGGAAACGAGAGTTAAGACCCTGTGGGTGAAAAAAAGTAGCTCGATACGTTCACTAGCTCTAGTGAAATAAGTAGCACAAAAGCTGCCCCACAGGGAAAGTTTTAACAGCTTTTCTTTTGTGTGTTTCACATCAGATTGACAAGAAAGTTTGTTTTAAATGTGTGAAGCATCATCTAGTAAATGTAAATAAATATGTGATTTTCATTTTGCAAACAGGTCAATCAAATCCTAATATATTATATGGATATTTTTCTATATCTAGATGAATTCTATCATTTAAAACATTACTATTGATAATGAAACATGGTAACATTCATGTTTAAAGTAACACTTTGATATTTAGACCTACAGTTTGATTTGAAGTGAATAATGTATAAGCCACAGATATTTTAAATGATGTTAATTTGATTATAATCAAAATCTTTGTTTATCTTTTTTGGGACAGGGCCTTGCTATGCAGTTCAGGCTGGCCTTGAAATCACCCTGTAGCCCAGGCTGGCCCCAAACACATAGGAATCCTCCTGCCTCAGCCTGCTACATGCTAGGGTTACAGGCAAGCACCACCACGTCCAGGTCAAAACATTTTTTAAACACAAGAAAATATATGCAACAGAATAATTTTATTACTCTTAAATATTCAAACTCATTCTTATTTTTCTACATCAAGGTCCTATCAACAGTCTTTACTTTGGTTGTTTCCTAAGTATTGGAAATGTATTCATTAAACCTAAAAGCAATTTTGAATGATTGACAGGTATATCTTCTCATGTAAAAATTTAAAATTGCAATTCAACTACCCTGACATTTCTTAAGTGCAGCATCATTAAGCTAAAATTATCTAGATCAACATTAAAAAATAAGTAATTAAAACATGTTTTAAACTAGAAATATTATGCAACTTAATGAAAGATATTTGCACTAAAGGCACTGTAAATAACTTTAAAATCTGTGTGAAATTAAGAGCACTCCAGGATTGAATTTGTGTATGTTTACCTTACTTAAATTTGATTTTGAATATATTTTAAAATTTTTTTCTCAACATTTTATCTTTATCAGCATGATTTTGTAGCACATAATGATCACATTCTTTGAAGGGAGTTGGTACAAATATAATTAACACATATTTTGAAATAGTTATGTGAAATATTTTAAAATATTGGTTTCTAACATTTTATATTATATTTCTTATTATATTTAATTAATTTAATTTAATCTTATTTAATTTAATTCTTATTATATTTTATATGTCTTATCAAATAATTTTCAGTATGAACTGTACATTCATGATCATGTTTATTAACTAAAATATATTGTACCAAATCATCAAAATTATACAAAGCCAACTGAATAAAATGTATTTTAAAATGAATAATTTTAATACATTTTCAAAACAAAAAGATCTAGTTTACTGATGAATCAAAAGTGGCAAATATGGCAATGATGATATAAAAGCATCAATCTATATAGGAAATACTGGTTTTTTTGTTTGTTTTTTTACTTCTAGGAGTTGAACTCATGACCTTGCACTTGCCAAGCAGACTGTGTGCTGCTGAGCTATATCCCCAGCCTGGGGATATTTGCTAAATCAGTGTAAAACTCAACTACAAAGAACATAGTGTACACTGTAAAGGCTTTGACCGCAGAGCATTAGTCATGCGTGTGGAAAGAATCCTTCAAGGGCTTTTGTTCACCTGTACCCACTCATTTTGTCACTTCCCATCCCATTTCTCATTTCACATGCTGCTTCTTCACTTGAGTCTAGTCTTTGTGAGAACTGCTTAAGTCAGTCAGAACCTTATGATGCTCAAGGAAACAGCTGTATTTAACGTAAGAATTACCTATTGAGTGACAGTAAGGACATCACAGGAAGAAATTCTATTACGTTTGTAGATATGATTTTAGTTTCAGAAAAATTTGAATCTGTAGATAAAGAATGAGCTGCACTTCACAGGAACAATACTAAGTAGGACACATTCCAGCAGTCTTTATAAAATCTCTTAATGTAGATGACTATTTAGGGAGGTGGAGCAATGACAAGGCATTGGGAAATATTCTTTGAGTTCGTAATTTTGTCACATTTATTATTATTATAATTTTATATGTATTCCTACATAGTGATTAAAGGGAAAAGACCTAACAAGAAGACAAGATCTGTGTCCCTTTGTAGGGAAGGTAAGATTTATAGGACAATGTTGGACAGCTTTGCATCAGATGTTTTCATATTGTTTATGGGAAAATGCTGCTCATGGCAACTAGAAAGCCACTAGTGCCAACCGATATACATCTTTTAATTTTTCATCTACTTGTTTAGAGGATTGTTCTTGTTGAAATTCACAATCTGACTTCAGTAGAGCAAATTATTTGCTGTCTTCAAATGTTTAAATCCACTACTCTTAAAGGAAGCAAGTAATAATCCCATGTGGATGCAGGTGAATCTAGTAGTGTTCATGATTGGTTCATTGTCTAGCACTGGGATTGGTGGTGTAAGAGCTGCCAGGGGTGGAGCCAGCACACTCTAACGGTAGGAAGAAGGTGTGTTTTCCTTCTTTTTCTGTTTGTTATTACTGTTTGTGGTGGTCATGAACTGCGAGCCTACCATGCCACTCTGCCTGGGAGCTAGCTCAGTATGCATTGAAACCCCCAAAACTGTAAGAAATAAACCTTCTCTTCTCAATTTTGGGTGTAAAGTATTTTGTCTCAACAATGAGGGAAAGGTAACTAAGACAGAATCTTAAATGTCCCCAAGTGCTCTATTGTTACAGATTGTGGAACTGTTGAGAGATGGCACAACTTTTATGTGGTATGTTGTTTTAACTTTTTCTTGGAAAATACCCAGAAGGAGAATAGCTGGTTAGAAATGAACCTCCTTTTGAGGAATCTCCACAGTGATTGGAGCAGTCTACACTCCCACCAACTGGGCATAAGGGTTCCTTTATCCCATAGCAATGCCAACATTTGTTATTGATTGATTTCTTCATGAAAACCATTCTTTTTGGAGTGAGATGAAATATCAGTGCTTTTTAAATTTGCATTTCTCAAATGACCAGTGATGTTGAATATTTTTTCATGTATTTACTTGCCATTTGTACTTCTTTATCTGAGATGTGTATATTCTTCTAAAATGCCTTTATTTGGATTACATCTTTGAATTTAGATATCATATTTTTTTTCAATTCTTTACATGTTCTAGATAGAAGTTTTTTGTCTGAGGGAAACTTAGATAATTTTTTTCCATTCTGTGTGTTTTCTTTTCACTGCATTGATTTTTTTGATGTGTAAAACTCTTTAATAAATTGAGATCCCAGTTGTTGATTCTTTGAAGTATTTCGTGTGCAGTTTACATTTTGTTCATCAAATCACTGCTTACCCGTCTTCAAGATTTCTATGTACATTGTCTTCCATTAGATTTAGTTTTTCTGTTTAATATTTAGATCTTTGATATATTTTGATTTTAATTCATTTCATGGTGATAGCATGTGTCTAGTTTTAGTGTTTGGCATGTAGAAAGCCAGTTTTTTCAGCACTATTTATTACAAAGCCTTTTGCCCAGTGACCATGTTTGACTCCTTTGCCAAAAATGAAGTGGCTGAATGTCTTTACAGTTCTGTACTCATCTTCTACTTTAGTATATTGTTCCTTATGTCTTTTTCCTTGCCAGTACCATACTGATTTTATTAGAGTCCCTTTGTAGTAGAATTTCAAATCTAGGATCGTGATGCCTCCTGCATTGCCTTTGTTTCTCAGGATTGGCTTTGCTATCCTAGATCTTTTCTGTTTCTAAATGATTTTTAGAAATGTTTTCTCTATATCTGTGAGGTATGCTAATGGTATTTTGATCAGAATTGCATTGCAATTTGTGTAACAGTTTTGGGAGTATGACCATATTTTCACAATATTGGGTCTTTCTATCCATGAGCAAAGCATACTGTAATTTGTAATTTGCAGTATACAGATTGTTTATGTACTTTCTTAGATTTATTCCAAGGTATTTCATTTTTTTGGATGCTATTGTGAAAGTGTTATTTCTACAATACTTCTCTCAGTCAATTTGGTTTTTGTGTACAGAAATGCTGTTACTTTTTGGTACTAACTTTGTTTCCAGCTATGCTACTGAATTTACTTATTTAGTCTACTCATTTGGTGGAGTTTTTGGGGTCTGCTATGTAGAGTATCATGCCATTTACAAATAATGATAATTTAACTTATTCTTTCCTATCTTTGTTTTATTTCTCTCTCTTGTCTACTGCTCTGGTTACTGTTACCAAAACTGTATTGAAGGAGTGGTGATATTGGATGACCTTCTCTTGTTCCTGACTTTATAGTGAAAGCTTCCAGTTTTTGTCTATTTTGTATGATATTGGCTATTGGTTTGTCATAGATGCTTTTTCTCATATCGAGGTAGAGACAGTTTATACTGGTTTTCTGTGGAGTTTTTATCATGAATGACTATTGGACTTTATCAAAAGCATTTTCTACATCTATTGCTATGACCATATGATTTTTGTCTTTGGCTCTTTTGATGTGGTGCATTATGTTTATTGGTTTGCATATACTGACCCATTCCTGGGATGAATCCTACTTGGTCATGATGTATAATCTTCTAAATGATTTGCTGCATTCTGTCTGCTATTTTATTGAGAATTTTTGCATCTATGTTCGTTAGGGAGATTGGCCTGTGGTTCTCCTGTTTGGTTGAGTTTTTCTCTGGTTTCAGTATCAGAATGGTGCTTGCCTCCAGGAATGGGGTAGGGAGTGTTGTTACCCTTTCAGTTTCATTACAGAGTTTGAAGAGTATTAACATTAAATCTTCTCTAAATTTCTTCTAGAATTCAGCCATAAATCTACAAGGATTTTTATTTGTTAGTAAGTTTTTAATTACATATTTGATTTCAGTAGTTGATAGTAGGTTATTCAAATTTTTTGTATCTTCTCGATTCAGCTTTGCTAACTGGTGAGTTTCTAGGAATCTATCCATTTCTTCTGTGTTTTCCAGCATGAGTAAAGGCCTTTAAAGTGATTAATGAAGATCTTCTGATTTTCCACATGATCTGTAGTGATTTCATCCTTTTAATTTCTCATTGCATACACTTGAGTTTTTTCTTATCTTTTCTTGATAACGTTGGCTAGGGTTTTACCAATTTTGTTGATTGTTTCAAAGAACCAACTCAATTAATTCTTTGTACTATTTTCTTAGTCTCAATTACATTAAGCTCTACTCTGATCTTTACAATTTCTTCCCTTCTATGAGCTTTGGTCTTGACTTGCAGATTGCTCATTTGTGCTGTTGTGTTTTCCTGAAATGAGAATTCACTGCCATATTTCCTTCTTAGGATTGCTTTCATCACATCCCACAGGTTTAAGTACGTTATATCTGCATTTTCATTTAACTGTAGATATTGTTCAATTTGTTCTTTAATTTTATCTGTGACACATTGGTTGTTCAAGAGGGGGTTATTTAATTTTCGTGTGTCTATGTAGTTTTTGTAGCTTCTTTGCCATTAGTTTCCAATTTCATTGCATTATGTTCAGATAATATGCATGGGATAATGTTAGTTCCTTTGCACTTGCTTAGGCATCTTCCATGGGTAGTACGTGTTCTATTTTGGAGAACGTCCCACGTGCAGCTGAAGAGAATGTGTATTCTGATGTTGTTGGGTGGAACCCTCTGTAAACATCTATTAAATCCATTTGTTAACAGGTTTGATTCATTTCTGCTATTTCTTTGCTGACATTCTGTCTTTTGATCTATCCCTTTGTGATAATGGGTTATTATGCCCCTGTTATCCTTGTGTTACTGCATATTTGATGTTTCCTGTCTATTGATACTTTTCTTGTATACTTGGGCACTCCCATGTTGGATGCATACATATTTAAGACTGTTACCCCTTCCTCTTGAAATTTTCCCCTAGCAAGTATGCAGTCACTTTCTCTATCTCAGTCGGTCATTTTTGGTTTTAAGTTCAGTTTATCTGTGAAGAGAGTATCTACCATTTCTTTTCTGAGTTCCTGTTGCATAGAGTACTGCTTTCAATATTTTGACTTTCAGAGCATGAATTTCTTTTTGAGTTAAATGTGTTTCTTGTATACATATCTTTGGATCTTGTTTCATAACCCATTCTGACAATTTTTTTTTTTGGATTAGTGAATTGAGGCCATTTACATTGATGATTATAACTGATAAAGTATTGGCCTAGTTTTTTTGTGTTTTTTTTTTTTTACTTGTTTTTCCCTTTTCTTTGTTTGTCTTGTCCAGTGGCTTCTTTCTATTTTTGTGGTCATTTTTATCTCTATCTAGTATGTCTTCCAGTAACCTTTCTAGGATTGTTTTGGCGGACATGAATTTCTTCATTTGTTCTTTGTCATGGAAATATCTTATGTCTCTTATTTTTGAAAGACACTTTTGTAGTTTATATCAATCTAGGCAGCAAGCTGTTTTAATTTGATTTTTAAGGACTCAAAAACCTTTACTGAGCTCTCCTTGACTTGAAGGTTTGTATTCAGAAGTCAGTGTGATTCAGAAATAAACTTTCCTTTATATGTGACCCGTATCTTTGGTCTAACAATTTTTACCATTCTGGGATTTTTGGGGGGCTGAATTTCTGGAATCTTGATGATTATATATTTGGGTGTATATTTATTTTGGTTATACCTTTTTGGGATTCTATATGCCTCAGTTACCTGTATTTCGGATTCTGTCACCATGCTTTGGCAATTTTCTGCTCTTATTCAAATAGTTTCTTTTTATATCACTTGTGTTGACTTCTGCTTTTTAATTGATATCTAATCAGTTTTACCTTACTTTTCTTTGTATCATCTTGGAGGTGTTGAACTGTTATTTCATGGTTCTCTGATATTTTTAAGAGATTTTTTTCATTTTTTATCAGTAGCTACAATTGTGTCTTCAGGATCTGAAAGTCTATCTTCATTTTTGTTCAAGCTATTTTGCCAGATTTCAATAGAATTTTAATTTCCTGGATATCTCTTTGTATCTGCTTCATGCATTTTATGTCTTATATTATTCCTTCAAAATGTCTATCATTTTCCTATGTGCATCTGTGTTCCTTTATTCATCTATGTCTTCTCTGAGGTAAAAAATTCCTTCATTAAGGTTGTCATTTGTTACATTAGCTTAGAGATTATTTCTGATCTGATTTTCTCTATAGCCTCATGGATTTGTTTCTTTACTTTACTTGGTGTTTTTACAAAAATTTAAATTATGTTTCTTCAATGTCTTCTATGTCAGTATCTCCTGTACTTGTTCCAGATGGGCTGGAGGTCTGAGACTGCATTTTGTTTTTTATATTGTCATTTTAGCTTCTTGGTTTATATTTCAATCATTTCAATCCCACTAGTTCTGTCAATCCTTTGTGTGTGTTTCAGTCAGTGTCATACTTTGGCTAATATTCACCTACTTGCTGAGCCCCACACTGTAGGAGACAGGCCAGTCACCTAAATTCCTCCTGCATGGTCAGTTGGGTTGGTCCTGGATTCTTCCTGAGCTAACCAGCCTAGGCATATTGATATGATACAAACTTTAGCCAATATTGTTGCTGCAGGTTCATACATTTCCAGGCCACTGGACTTGCCTGTCCATGGAGTACACTACAGCCGGGGTCCTACTGTGTTACAGGGGATCTTGCAGACCCAACCAGCTTCCCTTGGGTGGTGGGAAGGTTCACCTGCACTCTTCCAGCCCTCCAAAATCCTCCAGGTGGGGAAAGATGCTGCTGAGGCCTCTGCCAGCTGATCAAGTGTTCAGTATAAACCTCAAATCTCTATCTTCTTTATATTTTCAGCCTAAAATAATAAGAAAATTTCAACCAAAAAAGCAAATTTTAAAAGTGAACAAAACATAGAAAAATGTTCTAAGACAAGTGTTTTAAGTAGAAACAAATTATGTGCCTATAATGGACACTATAAAATAAGAATTTTTGTGAGAATGGCAATTCCCATTTTTCTTCATGATCTATCATGGTAGCCATGAGCATTAGCCTCTTGTGCTTCATGAGCATTTGAAATGCAACTAATACAGTTGAGGAATTGAGCTATAAATTTATTTAAATTTAATTTATTTCAATTCAAAATTCTTTACTAATCACCACTTTACAGTGGGCCCCCATGTACATGGTATCTACTTCATTACATTATATCTGGTGATGATGTTTTCTAATTTTCAACATTTTTAGTGTGATTGGCATTATATAACAAAGCATTTTACTGGATTATTTGCTGTTTCTTTATTAGAATTTCAGAAACACTGTTTATTTTACTTATATAGTATGCCTGCATTATATTACATGGTTCATTTTGCTTAAGGAAAAATGCATTATCTGGTGTGAACAATGATTATCATAAACTAAGCAAACCATGCACATTTTATATGCAAAAAGTATTCTAATTTAGAGACTTAAAACTAAATAATATTTTTACTATCTAAATTTGCAATGTTTTCTCTTGTAATTTTTTTTGCATTATTTTTCACAGCTTTTATGGATGAGGACAAAAGATGAACACTATTTAAATTATTAGAATATGAATGATTATATTAATTATTATTTCTATCCATGTACCATTTTAAAGAATGTTAAATGATATTATGTACAGAAAATATGACATTGTTTTAGCTGATAATAGCATGTTTTCCCCTCATACTTGTTTTAAAAGAAATTATTGGTACTTCAATCATTTTGTTTTTGACTCTTACTAGAAAGCCTAAATCATGTATTATTTCATTAATTTGTAATATTCATCTACTTCATGAAAATATATCTGTTTAATGATTTATTTTATTTTCTTTAATTTTTCTAGAAAATTGCAATTTCATAATATTCATTTTAATGCATTTGTTAACCAATGATATTTTTTTCATTCAAAATTCATCTCTGACTTTCTAGTTCATAATGATAAATAGGTCTATATACACTTAAACCCAGTTTCTACAGAATCAATGGTGAAATTAATGGCAAAGTAAAATATTTTGACCAAAGAATGAATTAGAATAAGAAATAAATTAGGTTCATTCTAGAAAGATAAAGAACGCTGACAGAGAGACATGGACCACTGAGCAGAAATGAGTACAATCAAGACACTATGACAGATGTTTATTCCCCTCTAATGGCACTTTTTTATGATATAAAGAGCCAGTTTACATATTCAATGCTTGGATGCTGGAATATATAAGTACAATTGATTTTTAATTGTTTTTGATTTGGCTGAATTTTCTTCATACTATTCTATTTGATGTTGTTTATCTTTCCCTACATATGGGGTCATCATTTTCTAAGATATGTGCTTTATTTTCTATTTCATATACTTGTCACTTTCTTTTTTTGCTTCACTTGCTACATTCTTCTGTAAAGATGGTAGAATAGAACAGGTGAGGTGAAGTGTAATTTCTTACTTTTCATAATTGAGCAAAGAGTACTTAATTGACCAACATATGGGTTTCTTCATGTGAGATTGATATCTTCTGATTACTGAGATTTTCCAATATTAGTAACTATTATATTACATTCCCAATAACAAAGAGACTCTACTCAATAATTTCTAGTGATGCTGATTATAATAAATATATATATATGTATAATCTTAAAAGCAAACTAAAACTAAAACTGTTTACAAACTTAGAATTCTAATGTGATAGGTATTACATTTACACCCCCCCCTTACTTTCTTTAATCATCAGAAACTTTGTACTTTTCATCTGTTCATAGATTAGATGTAGTTGTCACCTGTGGACATCAAGTGTGGAAGATCCTTGGAATTATGCTTTCCACCATTTGATCTCAATTCTGAGTTAGTAGACAAGTGGTGAAGATTCACTTCCTATGACCTCACTCTGCCAATTTCAACGGTGATTCTTTCTCAATAAGTCATTATAATGTGAATCTGGGAACAGTATCAGTTTCTGGTGTCCACTCCCTGGAAAGCTTTCATTTTCATTGATTAAGCAGTAAGGCTATAGTTTTTTCTAATTTTTTATTGGTACATTTAGTATACAGTGATAACATTCATCATAGGAAAGCTGAGCCTATATGTGTACCTCCTGCTGCTCCTTTTCTTCCTGTCCCCTCCCCTCCCTGCAGTCCCTCTTCTCTTCTTGATTTACAAGTTACATTTCCATTGTTTCCTTCTATTCTTTCTCTCTTGCCACTCCCAACCCCAGTGCCTTGTCCTCCTTCTCATGTGACCACTGTTTTCCCTTTTCCCAAAACCTGTTAACATTTTGATCCTTATTTAAACTTTTGGCTTCTCACACCACAAAAACCATGGAATATTTACAGCCCAGTAAGGACACAGTCAGCACTGGGTTGGGTTAGAAAGCAACTGACATTTTCCAGTAGCTTACTTTTAATGTCTAACTATGGAATCTCAACATGTTATGTATTTATTAAAGATGTTAAACGCTGACAATACTAGAAAAACATATTTTAAAATTTTAATTTTAATTAATAAATTGATGCTATAATCATTAATATCAAGAAATTGTTAACATTTTTAATTATCAGTGAATTAATACAGTCAAAAATTTCAAATTGCTTCTTAAATACTTGTAATATTATATAATTCTCAATGAATACAGTCAAAAATTTCAAATTGCTTAAATACTTGTAATATTATATTTTATACAGTAACATTAAACTGCTAGTCAATGAAACTATTTTCTTAGAAGTATCAGATAATTGGAAATCTGCATAATGTTTCTTTTATTTTAAAATCTGCATATCAATTTTTCTTTAAAATTTTGTTTGCTGGAGAATTAATAAGTAAGAACATGAATGAGTAGAATAGTATTTATGACATAATAGATGCAAAATGACACACAAAAATAATTCTCAAACTCATAAATGTATAATTAAAAAGTAATCATAGTACCTAAAGTAACTGTTTTGCTGTTTACTTATTTACTTTTTATTTTAAATCAGTTTTATTGCTGTATTTTATATATACATGATATCCACATTCATCATGGAGGAACTTGTACCTGTAAATGATGTTTTCTTTTCTTTGTACTGAGAATCAAACTCACACTTTCCAGGCAGGAGCTGTTAAACATGATACATCTTGACTCCTCTTTATGTTTGTATTTTTCTCTCTTCCCTTTCACTCCTTTTCCCCTGCTTATTTACAAAAGCTTTGTTTCTATTTTTCCCTCCTTTTCTCTTTTTGTCCTCTTCCTCTCCTCCATTTCCCCATCCCCCTTCCTAATTTTCACTTCAATTTGAACATTTTATTCCTATTTCACACTTTCTATTATACATTTTGGCCCTTATTTATACTTTCAGTTTCTCACACCAGAGGAAAAAAATTACACATGTGTGCACAATTTATTTCATTTAAGAGTATCATCTCAAGGTGCGTTCACGGATAGAGTATCATCTCAAAGTGCGTTCACGGATATAGAAATGTTTCAAATATCAGTCACATCCATTGTATAAAAAACTACATGTAGTTTATTCATTTATAGGCTGATAGGAAGCTGGGGTATTTCCAAGAATTAGCTATTATGAACTGTGCTCCTATAAACATGGGTGTGCATATATTGCTGTGGTATGATGCTTTTAATTCTTTTGGTAAGCAACCAACAAAGCCTAGTTTTAGTTTTTTGAAGGATCTCTCTGCTGGTTTTCATAATTGTTGCACCAGTCTATACTTTCAACAGGAACGGAGATGGTTTCCTTTTCCACATAGCCCCACCAGAATTTGCTATTTGTTGATTTCTGATTAGCAGCCATTTTTTCTAGAGTAAGATGGAACATCAATGTTATTGTAATTTGCATCTCTTGAATGACCACAACTGTCAATTTGTTTTGGTATATTTATTTGCAATTTCTAATTCTTCATCTGAGCAGTTATGTATTCATTCCAAATGTCCATTTCTGGAATGCATCATTAAATTTGCCAGGTCTGGGGCTGGGGATTTAGCTCAGCGACATAAGGGCCTGCCTTGCAAGCAGGCAGTAGTGAGTTCGATCCCCGGTACCGATAAAAAGGAAAATTATTTTTTTAAAAAATTTGCCAGGTCTGAACTTTTTAAATTCTTTACGTATTCTAGCTATCTAGCTAGTGCTTTATCTGGAATATTTTTCCACTCTCTGGTTTCTTCACACTCTGTTGGTTTCTTTTGTTGTGCAAAGATTTTTAATAAGATTAGATCCCTTTTGTAAGTTCTTTGTGATACTTTCTCTACAACATTCATAATGTCTTTTCCATATCATCATGAGTTCTATCTATTCGATGTTCTATTCAGTCTTCTAGCAGATTTCATGTTTCTGTTTTAATAATTAGGGATTTGATCCAGATCAATTTTAGTTTAGTGTATCATGAAAATATGGGTCTAGTTTTAATCTGTCAAGTGGAAAGCTAGTTTTTCCAGTATAATTTATTAAGTAGGTGTATTTTTTACAATGAAAGTGTTTGGCTCCTTTGTCAAAGATAAGGTGGCTGACTGTGTTTGGAATTGTTTCTGTATATGCTAGTGTGTTCCATTGATTTATGGGTCTGTTATTTCCCCATTACCATACTGTTTTGTCACTGTAGCTTGATAGTATAATTGAAGTCAAGGATTGTGATGCCATCCTACCTTGCCTTTGTTTCCACGAATGGGTTTTGCTTATCACTTCAGCTTCCAAATGAATTTTAGCATTGTTTCCTCCAAATCTGTAATGTATGATATTGATATTTTGACCAAGACTGCATTAAATCTGTAAATCATTTTTACAGGATGGCCATTTTCATTGTATGTGTTCTTTCTTCCCAAGAACAAGGAAAATCTTTCCATTTTTTTCATATCATCTTCAGTCTCTTTTTTTTCTGAGTACTGTATGTTTCAATGTAAAGTATTTTACTTCTTTCCTTACATTGAAACTTAAATATTTAAATTTTTTGGATGCAATTTTGAAAGGTGTTATTTCCATAATTTTCCTCTCAGTGAGTATCCTATTCATATATAGGGATGTTTTTGATTTTTGCATGTTGACTTTCTTTGCAACTACAGTAGTGAATTTTTTATTAAATTTGGAATTATTTTGGTACTGTTTATGGGGTCTTCTATGTAGAGTATCATGTCAATCACAATACTCACAATTTAACTTCTTCTTTTCCTATCCTTATTCCTTTTAATTTTTTCTCTTGTCTAGTTGTTCCAGTTAATGCTTCCAGAACTATATTAAACAGGATTCCTGGCAGTGGACACCCTTGTCTTGTTCCTCATTTCACAGGAATTCTTTCAGTTCTTGACCATTCAGTATGCTGTTGGTTTGGCTGTTGGTTTCTCATAGATCTCATAAATGTTGTATCAGATAAAGATTATCTATACCAACTTTTTGTTGTTTTTCCCATGTTTGCATATTTGACTTGTCAAATGCTTTTTATGCATGTGTTGAGATGATCATGCCATTTTTGTCCTTAGCTGTGTTAATATTGTGTATTAAATTCATTAATATACTTATTTTCAACCATCCTGCATCCATTGGATGATCCTTGCTTGTTCTGTGTAATCTTGATGATTTGCTGTATTCTGTTTGCCAATATCTTATGAGGATTTTTACATCTATATTCATTTGGAAGATTTGCCCGTATCTCTGTTTCTTCATTAGGTCCTTTACTGGTTTTGGTTTCATGGTGATGCTTATTTCCAGGAATGAATTTGGGAGAGTAGATTCACTTTGAATTTCATTAAAGAGTTGCATGTCTCTGAAATGTTATTTAATTTGCATGTTTTTAAGTAGTTTTATTGGTTTCTTTTGCCAGTGATTGCCAATTTCATTGCACTATGATCAGACAATATGCATGGAATAACTTCAGTTCCTTTAAATTTACTCAAGCTTGTTTTATGAACCAATATATGTTCTCTTTTAGAGAAAGTTCTGAATGCATCTGAAAAAATATGTATTCTGATGTTGTGGGATACAACACTCTGCAGGTATCACTTAAATTCACTTTTTCAAAAATTTGATGCATTTTTGAGAGTTTGTTGATCTTTTTGGTCTAGTTTATATCTGACTATAGAGCATTGAGTCCCCCCATTACAATTGCATTAGTGCTTATCTGATTTTTCATGTATTTAATATTCATTTTTTATAGTTGAGTACACTGGCATTTGGGTTTAAATTGAGATGACTGCTGTAATTTTGGTGGGCTTTCCTTTGTAAGTGAATTGTTTCTTTATGTATGAACTTTTAATATTCCATTCCTGTGTTGAATTCCTGGAATCCTTACTGTTATACACCTTCGGGTAGATTTATATATATATATATATATATATCTTGGGTAACTGGAGTTGTATGTGTCTCAGTTATCTGTTTGTAAAATTCTTTTTACATGCTCAACAAGTTTCTGCCATTACTTCTTTGGATACATTTTTATATTATTTGTGCTGTCTTCTGTTTTATCACTGACTCAGTCAATCTTAAGTTATTTTTCTTTGCATCATCTAGCAAATGTTGTATTGATATATTCACAGCCCTTTGCTATTTTTAAGAACCCTTTATTTTCATGACCATGATATAATCCTGTCTTCCAGATCTGATACTCTGTCCTGATAATGGTTCATTCTGCTACACATATTTCAATCCTGGATATCTGTTTGAATCTGTTTCATGGATTACATTTCTTTCTTATGTTGGGATTTTATGGCTTGCTTCATTTTCCTAAGCTCCTCTATTTTTTTCTTTCTCTTTTCTAGATTCACTAATCATGACCTTTATTATGGTCATCATCTCTGAAGTGAAACTGAGTTATTCACCAGGCACAGCAGTTTGCAGCATCCATTGTTCCATTCTGCTGGTGTGTTTCTCTTTGGAGCTCTCTGTAGTCACCAGTAGTCAATGTACCTCTACAGATTTGAGCCACCCCTCCCACACTACAGCTCAGAGAGAAAGTGCCACTCCTCACTTCCCATGTCTGCACTTGGTCCCTCTCCTTTCTCTCTCTGCGGGCCCTAATTCTCACCTTAGATACTTGCTCAGTCCTGGGAAGCCACTTCTCTCTTCTTCCCCTTGCGCTCTTCTAGCATCTGGATTCCAAATATCAGAGAAGATGTGTCACCATCCTCCTGCCATCCCAGAAGGCCTCTTGCTTCTTTAATCCTATATTAAACTAAACTATAACACAATTCATAAACTACTTTCTTTGTTTTCAGAATAGTCAAATACTCACAGGTGCATTTATTTTAATATCTTATAGATTTGTGGATTTATCATCATTACTTTTGAAGCTTAAAGTTTGTAATATGTATATTAGTAATAAATGGTAGACTTTTTAAGTTCTTATCTATCAGCGGTGTGGTGGGGGTAATGCAAGAACAACTTTTATACAAAACATCAGAACATTTAGCACTCCTTTTAGTGGTTTATAACCCTGGTTTTAATGATCTTTGCAACACGCTGCAAACAAATTGATAGCACATTAACTTTAGTGTGGTAAGATAACTTCATTTGATAACAGACACAATGAGAACATACGTCATGGGAGACTTTCACTAAGTGAAATATAAATAATTTTGAAAAATAGTATTATTTTCACAGAAATGTAGGATGATTTTATAGTGGCAAACTTATTTAACTTATTTCTGGTTTTCTTAGCCATTTACATACCATATAATAAGGTACATTTAAGTGCTAGTGTAACTCATAATTTTCATGGAATCACATCATATATTTTTCATGCAATACAAGCAAATCTTTATTATCCAGTTTTTATTGATACCAATGCATTGCTTTTATAATACCACTTCTGTTCTAAATATATTTCTTTATAATAGTTAAAATGTGCTTTAAAATGTGGAATATCCATTTAGCTTTAATATTTTTTAATTGAAAGTATGTGAAATATAAAATAACAAAATGGAATATATCTTTGAAATTGTCCTTTTTCTTTCTTAACATAAAAAGCACTCAAATGAAAACTATTGATTATCTAAATAGCTTTAAGAACATATTAAAACACAAAAATCTAGAGGAATATATAAATAATGACAACTATTTTGCAAAGTTGTAAATTTGATGGCAAGTTTTAGATTTTATTGGGTAATTCTTTTTGAATGAATGGATAAAAGCATGCATATATTAAACAATTTAAGAACATTATTACAGAACTCTTTTGTATTATATATCTAATTCCTTAAAACTGTTGCAAATGTTTTCAAACATGCATTAGCACAATATGATTTAAAGTAACATAGGGCTATAAGTTTAAATATTTCTAAATTATTATATGTATGTCTAATTGTATAATTCTTATAAATAAAAACCAAAAACCAAACAAACACCTTTTGAGGAGAATACATCCAAGCTTCCTTCTTTCACTTTCTCTTCCTTTACTCGGCCTATTCTCTGTCTTATTTCTTCTCACCAGTCTGCCATCTCTTGTCTTTCACTGGAATGTGTGAAGCTTGTACTTTGTGTGTGAGCTTTCCACTAGTGCTCAGATATTCTCACTAGTCATACACCATGGATGGAACAGTTCTAGAGGTGAATCTACAGATCTCTCACTTCCACATAAAAACTTTCTTAGCCCTGCTATGCAAAATTAAGACTTGCTATTTCAACCACACATATTAAAGTGTCCGGTCTAGTTCTCCATATTATCTATTTTCCCTTTAAATATTGAAAATTTTACCATGATATTTTTTCATACCATTTATTTTGCTTTTATGCACAGTGATATTTGCTTGTTATTCACCTTTATTGCTTATCTTTTTGTCTGATCTGAACGTAAGTCTGTAGAAGAAGGTTTAATATGAAACAGAATAGCAGAAATATCAAATAAAGTATCTGTAACATAATGACACTCAGATAACTGTCAAGTGAATAACAATAAATCCAAGAGAAACATAAGTTACAGTTAAAGTTTATATTCAATAGTAAGTAATGAAATTGTCATTATAGACTAGGATTTTCTTATATTAAGGACCTGATGTGACTGAACTAAGCAGTATACCACATCAAACATCCTCACTAATACTGAATATATTTTCAGACTCAGATGAACAGGCTTCCTGTGCATTCATTTTTAATGGCAGTAATATTATGAAAAATCTACATATTTGGAAAACTGTAGGTGCACAAGCCATCCATTTCAATGTATTTTGCACTATCAGTTGAGCAACTAGATGTTTTCTTTCATCAAATAGAAGTTATCAAACACTTGAATCATGGATCAACAGATATTTTCTGTGGAAACAATTCCATAGTTTATTTGGAGATGTCCAATCTATTTCAATTCTATTTATGGCAGATATGAAGAAAAATCTTTTTGATATACATTTCAAAAATACCATTCCTATATTATAATATACTATAATATTCATATATTACTGTATTGATATGGTAGTGAAAAAAGAAATTTTTGAGCATAAGACTTAAAATAGGATGATGTAGTCAGAAATTTGTAAGCATTTTAATTGAATGAGTTCTGTTAGTATTTGCAATGGAAGATCAAGTGATTTATCTTTGTAGCAGATGCATCTTGAGTTTTTCAACATGAGAAGATGAGGAATGGATAGGCAGAGCTGATACAAATACAGTACTCTTGACAAATTTTTTCATTTACACTGCATGTATTTATATCTGAGAGGTTTTATGGGTGCCTTTTTGCCAAATATGAACATGCTAATTAGAATTAAACTGTAAAGAACATTTTTTGAAAGGTAAATTCAATACATTTTATGTAAAATAAATTCTAATAAAAATATAAAAGGTCTGCTTATAATTGAAAAAATAGTTACATGCCTGAAATTAACTGAATAAATTGATATCAAAATTAAGAAAACTGCTGATTTTAAAACTATCAGATGTAGAGCTATAAATACATATAGTTTATTATTTGCTTTACTGGGTGCTTCTCATGTGATTTAATGTATATTTAATTTGAAAAATTGACTTGATTAAGTGATATATTACAGTATTATGTTTATTTATTAACAGAAAATATGTTTACTATAAACTATTAGTTTCATTTCTAGGAATCAAATTGTTTTTTAAATTGCTTCTGTTTTGCTGTTTGTCATATCTGAAGCAATGTAATAAATTTTTCATACATTATTTTTAATACTTTAGCCAATATATTGCAAATGAAATAGAGCATATTTCTGTAATTCTTAAATTATATAAAGAGAATATATATACTTTTAAGCTTCCCATTCATTGCTTATATAAATCCATTTTACATATATAATAAAACATTCCATTTAAAATAATTTTCTGATTAAGCCTGATATTATGAAACATGAGTGAAAAACAAAGAAAATTTACAATGTTGTATTAAGTGAAAGATATAAAAATGCTGATAAAAATATGGAGAAAAATGAATTTTTATTTGATGATTTTAATTAGTATAGGTACTCAGGAAAATAGTAGAATGTTACCTAACAAAAAAAATTTTAATACTGGTACTACCATATGATCCACCATACTCATTCATGGGTACACATCCAATGGAAATGAAATCTTTAGAAACCTAACCTTTCATGCTTATTATAGCATTATTGATGAGTCAAAAAACACAGTCATATAGGCTGCCTATGAAACAGAGAAGAGATAAAGAAGTTGTGGTTAATATTGAAAGCAGAATTTTTCCACCACAGAAAGAATGCAATGCAGTCATTCACAGCAACGTGACAATTAGAGAAAATTAATTATCCTAAGTGAAATGTCAGTCAGAGTAAGACAATGTCTCATGTTCTTATTCATTTGTATAAGATAAAAATTCAGTGGAGTAGAAAATAAAGTGATAGTCATAAGGGACAAAAAGGTTAAGGGATGAGAACTACAGATAGATTAGATAATGCATGCCAAAATACAATTAAATATGAGCAACTAGTTCTGGTGTAGGATAACACACGGGATAACTTTAGGAGATAATTTATGCTTTACTTTTAAAAAACTGAATATGAGAGCCCAAAGTTTCCCAATACACATAAAATATAAATATGTTAGGAAATGACAATCCTTAGTGCCCTGAGTTTCATCATTACATATTTTACACATCAAATTATTTTATACATAAAAATAGTTATGCTTCAATGGATTTCATTTATATGTATAAGCTGTATGTACCAATACAATAAAAATGAAAAAATTGAAAATTCAGAAAAATAAGATATAAAATTAATGTACATGGCAATAGGATTGCAAAAACAACTAATAAAAATGAACTCACTCCGTGAGTTAATGCCTGTAAACCAAGCAGTTGAGCAGGCTAAGACAGGCCTTTCATAGGTAACTCAGTGAGATTTTTATCTCAAAGTAAAAATGAATGCACAAAGCTAGGGTAGGGACATAGGTAACTGCAAATTCATTGTGACACACACAAACGTGTGCATGTGCACACACAAGCACAAACACCCTCCAAAGCATCAAGAATAAAGATACAAGACATAAGAAGCTAAAAAGAAACAATAGCACTACATTGCTCTTGAAAAGCAGTGCAAATAAGAAAACAGAGAAGTATCTTTATGTACTAAGAAATAAAGACAGTGAATGTTCCATTGTATTCAAAAACAGTGTTTTGTAAAAAATAGGTAAAATAAAAGCTTTTTGTGAAATAAAAAGCTGAAAAATTAGTCAATGAAATGAATTTAAATGAAAGATTTGCTGCTCACTGTGAAATGGAGAAAAATGAAATGATTGGAATATCCAAGAAATATAAAACAATTCATAAAGAAATAAGAAGTATAATTAAATATCAGAGACTAAAACTAGAACAGAGAAGAAGAAATACTTGAAGTAACAATAAACAATTATTTTCAAAATCAATGTAAGAAAACAAACCATAAGTCTAATTAATTCAGAGTTGCAAAAAATAAATACCAAAAAAAGAATAGCAAAACATGTAATCAGGTCAATTTTAACTTCCTGGAGGGAGAGACACACACATACACACATGCACATCTCAAAAGAAATTAAACCAGATAAAAAACATTTCCACTAAGAAATAAAGAAAATACATCAAAATTTTTTACATTTAAGCATGCTAAAACATACATCAAAATTAGTAGTGCTAAAATAAAAAGATACATCAAAACAACACCCAGTATCCATCAAAGTTGTCTTTTGTCAGTAGCAGATCTGACTTCTAAATACATTAAATTTTTCATAATAAAGAAAACTTCTGGTGAATGAATGTAAAATATGAATTTATTTTTAACTTTTAATTGATCTAATAGATAATTATTTGAAATAAGAGCAAAAATGTATTTTGTGATATTAAATATGAAAAAGTCAAATCAATATATTGTAATGAATGAAAAACTATTATGTCTTCACTAGCAATGTAGCACTGTAGTACAAATTGGAAGAGGACTTAAGATTTCGGTCATAGACTTAATGTGCATTGTCCACACTAGGGCAAACATTAACACAAAATTTTAATAAAAATGTGTAAGGCTTGTACCCATATATTTGTCATATTAAAAGTTCCACTAAAATAAGGGAATCTAAAAGTACAGAAAATAAAAAGAAAATAAAAATCCTCAATAATAGAAAACAGACAGTGTAGCTTTTGTCTGCCTGGGTGTTGGTTTGTTTGAACAGTGTCACACTAAGTCATTCAGTTGCTCAGGCTGTGCCCTAGGTTGTGATCTCCTTGCTTAGCCTTCCAGTGTGTTGAGATTACAGGAAAACACCACCACAGTCAGGTAGATATAATAGATTTTACTCAGATAGGACCTATATTTGTAATCACTTGAAATATAATGTTCTAAACATACAAGTCAAAAACAGAGATTTTTAATTGGAGAAACATACCACCTAAAAGACAACTTAGATATCCAGACTCATGTAGATTAAAAATGAAGAGATAGTGATAATTGTTTCACTCAGACACTAAAGCAATCTACTCTGGCTATACTAATTTCACCTAAAGTAAATTTCAGGAGGAGAATAATTTTTAGATGTAAAAAGAGTCAAAAGATAACAATAAAAAGGATCAGTCTTTCAAGAAGACAGAGCAATCATGAGGTTATGTGCATCTCACAGAAACATGCCCAAGTATGAAGACAAAAAGCAATAAGACTGCCGGGAGAAATAAACAAATCTGAAGTTACAAGTGGAGGTGTCAACAGTTCTCATGCCATAATTGATAGACTCAGCAGGCAGAAAATCAATAAGAGTACAGTGACATCAAATCTTGCAATTAAATCTACTGGATCTAATTGACACTTGTAGACTGGCTTATCCAACAGCAGCAGACGACACATTTGTCTCAAGTTCGCATAGAACATTTCCTAAGGGGGGGAAAAACACTTCTGGACCACAAAATACACCTAAACTAATTTAAAAGAACAGAAATCTTATGAAGTGTCTTCTTGGAACACAATGATCTAAAACTAGAGATCAATAAAAGAAACATAACTGGAAAAATAAAAAATATTTGGATTAATCAGCATACTTTTCAGTAGACCAAGAGTAAGTGAAGTCTCCAGAGATAAAATTAGAGAACAAATTTAGTATATGGCAAATGTCTATTTTTATTAGTTTTATAATTATTCCATAAACCCAAAATTATTTTTAAAATAAAGGTATTAATTAGTTGACGATATTACTTGGTGGTAGAGCTATTGCTTAACATGCATGGGTAAAATCACCAGAACTACCAAAAAGTACAAAAAAAAATGTTTTTAAAAGTAAATCTAGTCAATACAACAATAAAGTTGTAATAATATAATAAAGAATATTTTAAAAGAAATAGAGGAAAAATAAAAGGACAAATACAAAAAACCAAAATAATAAAAAGTTACATTAATAGATAAATGAAAGCAACCTGAAAGTTATAAGAAAGAATTTTTTAGAGTAACACAGAAAAAGTAGGATTCAACTGTTTTTCCTGTCTCTCTCTTTTTTTACATTGCTATTCAAATCTATTAAGAATTCTCTTGTCTTAAAAAAAATGAAAGAGAGAGAGAGAAAAAGAAAAAAGAAAAACAAATAGGAAAAGAAAAGAAATGAAACCAAAAGAAAAACCAACCAAGCCTAGGATCTTGAAGTAGCTAATTAGGATTGTAACCACATAGTATCTGGTTGGTTCCTTTTTGATGAGTTGGTACAGGCTAGAGCTAAGTACAAAAGTTTATGAATGCTTTGAAAGAGTAACAAAGTGCAAAGAGGATGACTGCAGGAAGGTGCCCAGAGGAGACACCGAGCACTGACAGCTTCAAAGAGCCTCAGCCACCTGCACCTCCTGGAGACAGAGGTGTCCCGTGCCGAGGTGGGTCTGGGCCTAGCTGTGCAATGGGGCAGCTGAGTGGAGAGGTGCTTGTGTCCCCTGCAGCAGAGTTCCATAGTGTGTTTAGTGTTCTTCTGCAAACTGAAATGAGGAGTCGATTTTTCTGGCTGAAATTTATACTGAAGACTGGTCCCAGACCTTGTTAACCTGGGACAGTGGGGTCCTCACAGCTCCCACAGGCAGCCGGCTCAGAATCCGGCCCGGGGACTTCTCACGCTCCAGGGGACGGCTGGGAGATTTGTCCCTCTGCAGCTCTGTTCGCCCCTCACGGTAGCGGTGGGGTGTGCTTGGCTCCCGGGGGTGGCTGGGGTTTTCAGGTGGTGCTGGGCTGGAGGCCACATGCTTGGTGATGTGCTCATTGTACGTTGGGAGGCCTCGCTTGTTGGGGCTGCTGCGGGAGGTGGAGGGGACCTGGTGGTGCTCAGTGCCGGTCTCCTTCACAAGGTTTCCTTTGCAGCAAATAACCCTTAATTTATCCTGGTATGAGGAGGCCAGGTAAATCGCTCCCGAGGAAATTGCAGGGCCCAGGTAGCTTGGGTTTGGGATTTCCAAATAGGCTCGGGCAGGAGTCCCCAGTGAGCAACGTGCCTGGATCTCAATGACAAGTGAGTTGAAGTGGGTCCTGTCTCTCTTTATTCCCTCTGTATATGTAATTAAAATTAAGTTAAAACCATAAACATATCTAAATAACAATGGAGAAACAAAGCTAATACTAATCAATACCTAATAATACTGGCATATGAACATACAGCAACGCAGATTTGGAAAAAATAATGCTACTACAGATAAGGAAGGTTATTTTATAATTAAAAAGTTTTAATTTATAGATGGTACACGTAAATACAAAATAACTTTGCATCTGCTAACAAAGGTTCAAAACCAACAACAACATATGATAGTAATACAAGTGGAAAACATGGTGCCAGCCATACATTTCTTTCAACTGATAACAGAATAAATATACAATAATTTAGCTAGGAGTTAAAATTTTAAATAATATTATCAATTAATTTGACTAATTACAATTACATAAGTTTGATCAAAGTTAGAAGAAAACATTTTTAAGTTTACTCAAAAAGTTTGCAAGGGTAGATCATATTTTAGGTTGTGACACAATGCCCATAAATTATAAAGATATGTGAAACATGTAGATTGTCCTCTGATTAAAATCAAACAATAGTAGGAAGGAATATAAATCTGAGAACACAGGCTGGAATTTATTTCACTGTAGCATGCACCACATAGTGCCTTTAACCACGGATTCAATCCCCAGCATGGCATAGAGAAAAAAGGAAAGAAAGTAAAACACCCACATACACGGAAAGCAATTAACAAAATTACAGTAACCATGATCAAAGCAATGAGAAAAGTTAAAAATGCAATTAAAAATTAGTTATAACTGGGTAAAATGAAAATAAAATTACCCAAACAATTGTTGTCATGCATTTGAGAAAATACTCATAGAAAACTGAATAGCAATTAATGTTCTTTTAGGAAATCTCCTATCATAGATGTAAACCTACTGCAAAAGAAACTTGAAACAGAAAAATCTAAATATATGTACACAGTAAAGAAATATTATAAAATAGTACATTAAAAGGAAAAAAACCAACAAAATCAACAGCTATTTCCTTGTATTGTAGTGTGTAGTTGTTAGACCTCTATGCAGATTATTTTTTTTCAAAGGAGAAAACATAAATATGAGTAATACAAAGACAGTGTTATAGGTTGCATAAACATAGATATAAATGAGAATTGTACAGCCAAGTTCATAGGAATATAATGAGTCTTGGTTACTTTAGAGGTTGGATGGGAGAACCACTTGAGCCCAGTGTTGGAATCCATGTTGCACAAAATAGTGAGATACCAATTTGAGGGAAAAATTTAGCAAAAAGAAAAAAAATCACATAAGAGATTGTTATGGACAGGCTTATGTCATTTAATTTGGTAACTCGGGTAGTGTGGACAACTTGAAGAACAAAAGTAAATTCACTCAAGGAAACAGTAGTATCCTTGTATACTATTATCAACAAACAATAGTATCCTTGTATACTTATATCAAAGACTTTGAAATTCCACTTTAAAGCTTTCCCACTTATTAAATTGTTATTTATCAAATACTATAGATATTAAGTAACCTTTTTCAAAGAAATTCAGACCTGTATTTATATTTTCACATGGTTTGTCACACAGCAGAACTTTTGAATTATATTCGATTTCACAACATAGAATTTTTAATTTATAAATTATGCTTTTTATTGTATATAATTTCAGCTAACACATTATCTTGTAGATTTCTCTTATGTAATCATCTAAGAATTTTATATTTTTCTATTTTATGTATTTACTTGAAATGTACAAGGCATCTGTGGTTTTTTTTCCCATCTTTTTGAGACAGAGTCTTGCTATGCAGTTCACGTTGACCCTGAGCTCACTTTGTAGCCCAGGCTGTTCTTGAACTTGCAACAATCCTCCTGTGTCAGCCTCCTGTGTGCTAGGATTACAGGTGAGTACCAAGCCCAGCCAATTGTGTTCTTCTTTCTTAAATTATTAATGTAGATGATCAGTCATCTCAGTGTGTGAGGACAATCTTTCTCAGATAAGTTTACTATACCTTTGCGAATGTTTTTATGAGCTGTCTGAGCCTTTTGTACCATTGATCTATTTGCCAATTCTATTCCCCCACCCCCCCAAATCAAACTTTTTGATTATCATAGTTTTGTAGCATAAATTAAGTCAGATAGTGTCCACTCTCTAACTTTGCTGTTCTTTAAAGTAGTGCTATAGTATTAGATATTCTGATTCTTGTGTTTCTTTTTAATTTTGTTTTTGTTTTTGTTTCGTTTTTGCAATGCCAGAGATAGAATCCAGGGCCTTGTGATTACGAGACAAGAACTCTACAGCTGAGCCATATCTCCAGCTCTCTTTATAATTCTGAATCTCTTTGTCAACACCTAAATATTCAGCATCTAAATGTAATCTGAGTTATAATAAACATTTAAATTAGAAAGAATGGATATCATGATGAATTTGAGTATTTTTATGATTTTTATTTATATTTATATTCATAAAAACACTGTCTCATGGTTGGATTCTGGAAACTTTTGTTTTAGTTTACATTAAGCAAATTTTTAAGCATTGTATTTCTCTGTTTTTACTTTTATAAAGAGTCAACTGTTAAAATCTAGCTTATCAATTTAAATTTGGAGATATATATATATATATATAGTGATGCACCATAATTGAGACAAGATCAACTTTCTACACTCAGAATATTCATTTTTTTCTTATATGAGATTGAGCATCTTGAAATCTAGTAGGCTCCGAAATTACTGATTTACTCTTTTACACAGTAGTTTTACCTTTTCTGTAATTGCATACATGCTGAGCTTTATAACACATCATATTAGGTTTAGTTTCATTCTTATAGCAAAGCTTTTGTAATTCTTAGCAGACAATGTACCATATCCATACAATTGAGTAGTTATTGATTTGAGCGAGATTTCTACCCAACAACATCATTTATGAATAAAAATATTTCTTCCTTCTAGTAATTACACATTTAGATTGTATTTCATACCCTCTTACATTATCTAGGATTTGCATTTCAGTATTGAAAAGTAAAAATCAGAGTAAATATTTTGCTTTCATTTTGAATTTAGTGACATTTGTATATTTATTTATGCTGAATGTACTTTTTCATTTGTTTGACTTTCAGTACGGTGAATAAAGCCAGTTTGGATGATTGAGCTCATAATTTTTAACTAATGTCCACACTCATAGTGTTTAATTAGGGTAAGTACCTATTGAAGGAATTGCTGAATCATTTCATTAGTGTATTTTTATGTGTATAAATTACCACAATAATTTCTAGAATGATTGTACAGTTATTCAAATCATCCACCAGATCTGATAGCTCTAACTCACTAGAAACACTTGGAATTACTAGCCTCTTTAATTGTGGCAATTGTCGATTATACATAGTGCTACTTCACTGTGGATTTAATTTGAATCGTATTAGTAACAGGCAATATTGAACTCTAAAATTTTTACTCATTCTTACATCACTTTGGTCAATATATCTTTTTAAGTGCTTTTCTCATTTAGAAAAAAAAAATTGACTGTTTAGCTCCTTGTCACTTACTTTTAGGATATTTTTACCATATTCTGTCCTTTTAATTTCCTTGGATATTTGAATTTTGTACTCTTGCACTATATCTTCAAATCCACTTCCACGTGATGTACTAGTTGTTCTGTTCTCTTAGAAATTTGCATCCTTTCCTTCATCCTAAACACAACTTGAAAACTAGAGCTCTGTTTTATAAACTTTTCTATTATTTATGACAATATGCTAATTTCTATAGCAATGGATTATTCATGAGTAAAAGTTTTGTCCAATTGATTGTTGTAATTGTCTTTAAAATCAGGAAGAACCATGTAATGAATGGTTTTGGGTAGTTGGCAACCACTTGAAAAAAAGTAGCTTTCTCCAGCCTTAGACAGTTAAATCATTTATTGTTATTCACATATAGTAGATCAATGAATTATGCATAAAAAGTTCAAAATGTGAGAAACGATTATTTTCTTTTTTCTTTTCTTTTCTTTTTTTTTTTTTTTTTTGTCTTTTTCGTTTTTATCTGTACCAGGGATCGAACTCATGACTGCCTGCTTGCAAGGCAGGCGCTTATGCCGCTGAGCTAAATCCACAGCCCCGAAATAATGATTCTTGAGAAACAATTTCCCAACATAATTCAAATAGTGAATAAGCAACAAGAAAAAAATGAATACATGAAAATATATTTAAGATATTCAGTTATTTAATCCTCTTCTGAATAAAATTTAGAGTCACAATAGGAAAGAAGCATAGATTAGAATTTATTAATTTTTCAACCACTATTTTAAAAAGATTTGAAAAACTTGTTGCTAATTAGGAAAGTAAGTGATCTCTCTCTGTCTCTCTCCATCTCTGTATATATATATATATATATATATATATATATATATATATATGTATTTATATATATACTATATATATTTATACATATACATATATATTTACCTATAGATAGGTAATAGATATGCTAGCTTACATATCATATATGTGTGTTCATATTTATCCCTGAATTCAAAATTATCCCAAATTGATAAAAATATAAGATAAAAAGAGCTGTTCCTCAAAAATGAAAAAGAATCAAATTACCAGTTGACACATACTAAATTCATTTTTATTACCTTTCAAATAACATTGAAAATTTGGGCTCGTCTCCCTGCATTAAGTGCTATGCTGGTCATGTGTATAACTACAGGCTGATAAAATTATCCACTTGGTTTATGACAATTTCTTTTAATTGCTTGTTAATGTGACATAATTTTAACTAGCTCTTTCATTGCCATTAAGCAATGCATCCTGTAATCATCAATGTGCAAATATTTATGTGTTACATGTGACATAGTTTGGATTTAGAATGCCTCAGAAAAGTTTATGTTCTAAAGACATGTTCCCACCATAAAGTATTGTTGAAAGGTGATGGAAGCTTTAGAATTTGAGGACTGATGGAAATAGGCCACTGAGGATATAATGGACCCTGATACATCCCCCAGCTTACCGCCATAAGGTTAGTGGCTTTGCTCCTTATACATGCCCTTCCATGGCGCTCTGCCTCCCCATACACCCAGAAAAAGATTAGCCAAATGAGTATGGATTAAAACCTCCAAAGCCATAAGATAAAAATTTTATTTCTTTGAGTTGTCTCTGTCAGGTATTTTGTCACAGTGATAGAAAGTTGCAACATATGATGAAAGTCAATGGAATATTTGTATGTTTTTGTTGAATTCCATAATACAGCCCTCTTTTTCTTTGCAACTATTCTCCAGAAATTCTCTAGAATTTCTCTAGAATTCTAGAAATTCTCTAGAAAATCATAGAAGAAATACAAAATGATATTTTTGTAAACATCATTTATCACATTTGGTAAACTGATTCAGAGAATATAAAATGTATGGCAGACACATCCAGTTGATTGTCTAATAGCCATTCTTTCATCTCTTTCCTGGTAGTAAAAATTTTACTCCCCGCCCCAGGTATTGTGTTTCATAAGCTCCTTCGGAGCTATGGAAGAAGAACAGAGTGGGTGACATAAATGTTGTGCAATCCACTCTTTAAGTGTGGGAATGTAATGCCACCATAGCTAACTTGAAAATAATATTTAATATAATTTCTCACTATATATGATTGTCTTTTTTTCTAGTAATGAATGTGAAAGTATGTGACACATTGTCAGGTACTCATAATGCCATTCTGAAGGTGGCTATAAACATACTGGGAAAATAACTTAAGTATTTGGATATTTTATATTGATGTGGTTTTCACTTTCCTGAAAATGCACAGCCTGTAAATATCATGTCATGTGAGTTAATATTCATTTTATTGTTTGTATTAGCTACATCAAAGAGAACAAAACTGACATAAAACTGTAAATCTGTGAAAAAACAAAGAATTGCTTACCACTATGAAACATTTTGCTTCTCTTAAAA